TTCATTCAGTCTGTGCCTCTAGAGTCTGAAGTCTCTCCAGATGTAACTGCCGTAGTCCATATATCAGTGGTGAGTTAGTCATCATGGTATGATGCGAAAAATTATGGTCCACACGATGCCCACTGTGGTTTGGACAGAAGACCCAAATTTGGATGAATTATGGAAGCTTAGGAACTGAAAGTGACTAATATAAAGTATGCTGGGTTGCGGGGGCACTATGACTCTCTTAAGACAGTGTCTTAAAGTCATGGTTGCGTTGACAGATACCTCTGCGTGGTTGCCTCTGGATGAGGTTGCTTTCCGGCTTCCCTAGCTGAATTCTGTCAGGACGAGAGCGAACTATTTCTTGCCCTTGGGATTGCCGTACGCGGCGATGTTCTGGTTGTAATCCTCTTTGGTGCTAAGGCGTCTTAGGGGGCACTGGAGCATTGACTGCGATCGGTAGCCTGGTCATGAAAACCGAACGAAAAGTGTGTTGGTGAGAGTCTTGTATCCCTGAGGAGCTTGATTCGAACCTTCAGACGACCTGTTAGGGGATTACGTCCGAGACTAGTTTGCTCAAGGATGGTGGCTTTTAAGGCTTCGTCGGACTGCGATCTGTCGTGGGTCTTAAATTTGAATAAAATGTGTGATCCGTGGCTGGTCGTACAGTGAGGTCATATAGCGCAGGTAGGTGGCGCGACCTCCAGTTGCTCGGGCACGCAAGCGTCAGGGTTCCGCTCATGATTTAGTGAGAGCAGAGCAGCAGTGGGAGCAACCGCTCGCGGTTCGGGGACCCAGTCTCTTGTACCAGAACAAACACTTTTCTACAACCACCCCGAGAGGTGTTAATGACTATTGTCTCTATGCAGGAAGCATTTCGGACTTCTGGTGGTTCGGGATGTGGAATGCATTCATGGACTGAGGTGAGGTGGGTAGGAGCCTACACAGAAAATGTTAATTGTCCTACTCATGCTTGTCTTGGTCAGTGGAGGGCAGGCACCGGTGAGAGAATCGTCAGCATTCAAGGTTCTCTTCCCGGCTTAGATACCTAGAGAATCAAACAATTGTCCCTGATCCGAGGATGATGGTTGTATGCTACCTGCAAGTTGGAAGTGCAATTATATGACCAACCATGGTTTGGTTGAGACCGCAAAGTCGGGGGTGGGAAAACACCTACCGCTGCGGGAGCGTTATTGGAGTGCCTGGCATGGGATGCTCCTTTTCATGCTTAAACGTTATTACGACGTTGTTTGCTCAGCAAGGATACTGGCTCTTCGGGGGGGGAAACAGGGATAATGGGAATTATAGTACCACCCTCTCCTCCGGAGACCTTGTTGAAAATATAACGTAAAACGCTCAAAGTATGCTTGGTTGAGGGGGCACATCTGCATGACAGTTCCTCAGACGGAAACTATTGTGGTAGAATAATTCAACTTGTACTTACTACACCTGCCACCACGCAGTTGCTGAGACGTAGGCCGTGGACAATTGTAGCGGTTGATAATTTCAATGGGAGAGTCAGTGATCTCCTCTGGTCACCCGGGAGACAACCACTAGCACCCCGAGGGTGTGGCTATCATGATGTCACCAACGGGAACGAAGGCCCTGATACAATAAGAGGCAACCTCACCTACGATAATGACCGCCAGATTCAAGTACAAAGGAAGGAAAGTGTCAGTTATACAATGCTATGCACCGACAAACAACGCAGACCTCGAAAAGAAAGAAGAGGTCTACAGACAACTACAGGCAACAATGGACAATACTGCAGTTGGTGACATTAAAATACTAATGGGAGACATGAACGCCAAACTGGAACCAGACAACACAGGAAGACAGCTCATCATGGGTAGAGAAGCTCTTGGAAAAATGAATGAAAATGGAGAACTCTTCGCAGACTTCTGCGCCTTCAATGAACTAGTGATTGGCGGCAGCGTATACAAGCTCAAGGATATCCGCAAGGCTTCATGGGTTTCACCAGACGGGCGAACCAAAAACCAAATTGACTTCATCTCAATGCTGCTCAAGGAAGTGGAGACACAGCTTACTGGACACAAAAGTGAGAAGTGGAGCAGATGTTGGCTCAGACCACTATCTCGTCCAAGGAACACTCCAAATCAAATAAAATTTTCAAAGAAACAAGAGCTGCAGATAGACCACAAGCCAAGTTCAATACTCAAAAGCTGAAGGATCATGCCACAAAGGACATCTTCACTGGAATCATAAGGAAAAAGGTGGAGACACAAATCAACACTAGCGAGGAGAGCAGCCTCGAAAAGCACTGGGACAGCCTGAAAGCGATGTGAAGTCAAACCTGCCTGTAAGTTCTAGGCAGAAAGAAGAGACAGGACAAACAGTGGCTGACTACGGACACATAGAGACTAATAGAAGAGAGAAGGATGGTGAAACAAAAGATTATCCAGTGCATCGACGAGCAACAAAACAGGAGTTGAATGCAAGCTACAATACACTGAGCAAAAGAGTAAAGAAGAGTGCCAAGGAAGAAAAAAGAAAATATTAGGAAGCTATAGCAAGTGAAGCAGAACAAGCTGCAGTGCAGCTAAGGAGACCTCGCAACACTCTACCAAACAACTAAGTTCCTATCGGGGAAACGTTCAACGCAAATTGAGCCAATGGAGGATGACAATGGAAAGCGAATCACCAAAGAGGTGGAGCAAAGGAAACACTGGGGTGAACACTTCAAAAGACTTCTTAATCGACAACCACCTACAACACGCCCAACAATACCAACAGCAGAAGCAGAACTACCAGTGGACATCAACCCTCCGAAGAGAACAGAAATCCTGAAGGCAACCGAGATGCTAAAACCTGGAAATGCAACAGGATTTAAAGCAACAGGACCAGACGGAATACCAGGCATTGAAAATTAACCCTGAGACATCAGCGGACTTGATGACGCTACCACTGGAGAAGGTGTGGAAAGAGGGTAAGGCGCCTGTGGATTAGAAAAAAGGCTACTTATTCGAACTGCCAAAGACAGGAGACCTAAGTCAATGCAAGAACTGGCGCGGAATTATGCTCCCGTCCATCCCAAGCAAAATACTAAGCCGCATCATCCTGGAGAGAATCAAACACTCCCTGGATGGAAAACTTCGACCTGAACATGCTGGATTCAGGAGAAAAAAGCTATGCATCAATCAAATTGCATCACTATGGCAGTCAGCTCTCCACCTCAACTTCATTGAATTTGTAAAGGCCTTCAAAAGCGTCAACCGGGAGGTGATTTAGCAACTACTTCACTACTACAGGGTGCCGCCAACAATTATACATCTCATCCAACAGCTGTACGACAGTGCAGCATGCCAGGTAATCCACAATGGGAAACCCACGGAATCCTTCGAAGTGAAGACAGGAGTAAGACAAGCTGGCTGGCCGCCTACTATCTCCAATGATTTTCATGATTGCGGTAGACTGGATATTGTGACAGACCCACAGTGGGCAACGAGGAGACAGTCATAAACTGAACCCACACAAAAAAGTTGAAGGTTCTGAACTAAGCTGATGATATTTGTCTGATTTCTCACAAACTGGAAGATATGCAAGTGAAAAGCAACACGTTGGCAGGAGAAGCATTCGAAGAAGGCCTACAGATGAACATAAAAAAACAGAGGTGATGAAGATTCCTGCAACAGCAACAACAACAGACAAAAATCAGCCAGCATAAATAGGAGAAATCTAAAAGGAGCAACCTCCTCTACCTACCCACATACCTAGGAAGCATCGTTTCAACTACAGGCAGACGAAACTGATGAGGATATCAAAGCGAGGACTGGGATATCAAGGCAAGCTTTCATTACTCTCAAGTCTGTGAAGAGGTCTACAGAACTCAGCATGAAAAATAAAATCCGGATTTTCTACTCCAATGTGAAATCAGTGCTACTTTATCGATCAGAGGTTTGACGCATCATCAACAGCCGTCTTCACTCAATGCTACTCAAGACCAGATGGCGGGCCAGAAACGATCAGTAACAGTGAGGGATCTCTGGGAGCGAACCAACCAAGCAGGAACCAATCGTGTTACAACCAATATGGAGGAAGAAATGGGGGTTTATTGGTCACACTTTGAGAAAACAAACCAGCAAGTGACATTACCCGCAGTGCAGGGCATCACTCGAGTGAAAGGCGAATGGCAGGCGGTGAGTTGGTCGTCAGTGCGAGGGTGACATGGAAGCGGAGGTCATGTGAAGAGGAGATGGAAGAAAGGGTGGTAGAAGTGTAGCTAGGTGAAAACGTTTGCAGAGAACCGAAAGCAATGGAGACGTGCGGCTGAAGCCCTATGTTTCTCTGGGAACTATAGGAAACAATAATATAATAATAATACGCAAATAAATCATAGAAACTTGAATAAACTATGTATATTATATGACAAGATACTTATGCGTATCAAGGCAGTGCATGTGACATCGCAAAATATTTAAGTAACATTACCAAGCCCCATATGCAATGTGAAAATTTGGAAATTCCATAAAATCCACCACTTCTGGGATGTAAGGTGATGCACTCCTATTGGAAATACTTCAGATGTGCATAATATATGTATCCTTTGATGTGATCTCTTTACTGTGGGAGGGGCACGTAAGAAAACTCAGTCGTCTTTAACCGTGCAGCGCCAAGCAGAAAGCCTTATGTCTGTTCCATTTACCTTCCCTTTTCCTGCCAATTAGATGGAGCAACTTCAAAAAGATCCCTTAGGAGAGAACAGAGACCTAGGAGAGCAATACCTTTAGCTTTTCATTTCTGAAAACAAAACCTCAGAAGATGAATTCTCTGCATCTTTGGATGAACCATTCAGGAAGAAAAACGATATTGGATATTGGAAGATACTATACCTATCTGAAGTCCCACGATCAGCTTGAATATCTCTTGAATTATAATTGAAAGTAGTGAGGAAATAAGCAGTTTAGTGGAAATTAACGGCAATTACACTGGTACCGGTAAGTAATATTTCAAAAATCAAGTTTTGTTTTTCTACGTCAAATGCAACTAGTTGTTATAATGATGAGTTGAAGCAGTTATGAATTTCGACTCTCATGGGATTAGAATTACTCAAGATCAACTCAAAGCAATTGATGAATATGAGGAGTATAGACGGTATCTTTACATATTGACTAATTCGATTTTTCTTTATTACCAGAATTGTTGGAGAAGATGATGGTGGGATCCTGTTTACGCCTGAGCAATATGAAGCATATAAAAAGAAATATATACCATTGGTATGATAATGTAATACTTTTAAACTCCGAATTAAGAGACGCCAAAATAGGATTTTTGTTTCATGGACGAACCCAAATGGAGTAGACTGCATACTTCCTGGTCCGCAAAGTGAATGCTTTTGCCAGCACCGGTATGTTTGCCTGAGCGAATTTGATACTTCATTCTCCTCACCAGACCCATCTTGTTTTTTTAATTGGAGTGTACTGCAAAACATTTCTGAGTTGAAAAAGTTTCATCAGCTCATTATCAATTCTGGTTTGGATACAATATACTACGGAATGTTGACTTTGTTAATGAAATTCTTTCGAAGTTCTGAAAACTGTAAATAAATTAAGTTTTATATCTTAGGCCATCAGGGTTAAAGCTAAGAAATAATTCTGTAAATTACTCCAGCTAGAAAACATTTCAGCCACCTTTACCTTTTTCAGCCAAAATTATTAAAGATGTGCACTTCAGAGCCTCGGAGAATGCCAGACAGATAACACTTTCTTTCAGAAATCAGGTTTCATTTCTGGTTTGTCAATGGTAATAAAGTTAACCAAAGTTGTATGCATAATGAGTGTAAATCACTGAGTCCCCTGAAAATTTTTCTAACACTGTTAAAGTAGTTTTTGTAACTTATTTCATTGGGTGATGTAGAGCTTTGAAACTTTGAAACTACAGTGAACCAATAAAATTGTGTAGCACTTCCTAGAATTTGCTTTTTAAGGCAATATCACACAGACTTTATTAGAGACATTTTCCTTTGAACTTAGCAGTAAATGTACTTAGAGTTAGTATCATGTATATTGTACTACTTTCTCTAACATTAAATGTAACCTGACAGTTTTCTTTATCCTTGATCGAAGCCTAACCCAAAAATTAAATTCAAGTGAATACCACTAGGAAATATTTACATTTGTCAGTTCTGACTAATCAGCATTCAAGAGAGTGAAGTAGTTGTTCTTGGTCACTCTTTTGCTGACCAGTTGTGATTTCTATTATTTCACTTAACCATATCAGTGACGTTAAATAACGCACAGCTACATCTACTATGTCCATAGTACATTTTAAAACTCACTGGAGTGAAAAATTTTAAACTTATGTATAGAACATGTCTCAATCAATAAAAGTAACTTCTGAGGCAAGAGCATTTTAAATTAAAATATAATACCAATTGGTATACATTCTTCGGCTACGAGAAGCGGTGTGTCTCAATATAGCAACCTCTTTTGCAGATATATATATCGACTGAGATGGTTAGGACATGTTTACGCATTCATGCCTAGTCATCGCCTTCCTCGACAATGGGCAATGTTAGCTGATATAGGGTCAGGCTGGAAAAGAGCTAGCGGCGATCAAACCAAAACATGGCACCAGTCAATGAAATCTACAACAGTTAGTCTAAGCCAGCCACGTAGACTTCCTGGTTGGGGTCCTCGGGATCGTATTGTCTTTAAATGTACCAAACATTAATACAAAATATATCTGAAAGCAGTTTTTGTATACACGTTTTAGTACTGTTATTAAGCCTAATCTCCCTGAAAACAGAGACATTTCCCTTTAAAAAACAAAGCAGCCCTGTTTCCTGTATTTTGAATGTCCTAGGTTATTCTGATGAATCACCAACCACTTAATGTGTATCCTCTACTTAAGCTCCTTTTGATTTTAAAAACGACTTTACGATAGGTTAGAGCGCATCTGAATAAGCTACAGAAGCATAATTTGTCAACCCACGGCGAATACCTAACATGACAATATACTTTATACCCTTTCTTTAAGTTGCGGCTAACACTGCATACCATATGACTTACAAACTGTTAAACTGGTCACATGGTAGGCTATCACATCGATAAACAAAGAAAAAAAGCGTTCATAGTTTTTGTGACACTATTGTAATACTTAATTTCGGTTGTAATTAGGTAGTAATAAAGATTGAACAAGTCAATAAAGATCATCATATTAGTTATAAATCAAGCTCTTATAGTCAGTAAAACTTTCTGGTCTGCGTAAGTGAATAAAAAGAAAGAAATAATCATAGTTTTCTAAATGATAAATTAAGTGAAATACTATCTTGCCGCATTAACAGGAGACCAGTAATTTCTCATATGTCCTAGTAATGAACTGAAACCTGAAATACTGTCAAGACTAAGTGGTGCTCGGGAGGCACAAACACGAGAAAACCAGGCAGGCTTTAGACCAGGAAGAGGGTGTATTGATCATATCTTCACCCTCCGACAGATTCTAGAACATAGACATTCCTACCGGCGTCCAACAATCATTACATTTCTTGATCTAAAGGCAGCATCTGATTCTATCGACTGAGAGGTTCTCTGGCGATACTTGGCTGTAAAGGAATGCCGAGAAAATACATTGCACTGATTAAGGCACTCTACTCGTACTCATGCAGCCAGGTGAGGGCTTACGGCGAGTTGTCATCTGAAGTGGTGACGACTAGTGGCGTCCGTCAAGGATGCCCATTATCCCCATTTCTATTCAACTTCATCATAGATGTACTAATGGACTTAACCCTAACTCACTTCAGCGACTCAGGGATTGACTTGCTACCAGGGAATAATCTCGTTGACTTAGAATATGCAGACGATATAGTCCTTCTAGGCGAGGACGCTGACAAAATGCAGAGTCTTCTGAACACCTTGAGCTGCAATCTACGAATGTTTGGCATGCGATTCGCTCCCGCCAAATGTAAGATGATGGGGCTACAGGATAGGACTACACCGACTCCTAGATTAGAAATAGGAAGTGAAGTGGTAGAGCACGTTGACCGTTTCACTTATTTGGAAAGTTGCATCAGCCCCAACGGGTTGATCTCTGACAAAGTCTCAGCACGAATACAGAGGGCTAGTTTCGCATATGCCAGTTTACGCCGTCTCTGGCGTAGACGTGATATCCGACTATCGACCAAAGGGCGTGTGTACTGCTCATCAGTCCGCTCCGTCCTCCTTTATGGCTGTGAGACCTGGCCATTGAGAGTGGAAGACATGAAAAGATTAGCTGTCTTCGATCATAGGTGTCTGCGTTCTATCCCGTGTGAAGTGGTATAATAAGGTGAGCAATATTGAGGTTAGGCGTCGAGTGCTAGGTAAGGAGGGGAAATCAATCAACGAGGCTGTGAAGTTACATCGACTGAGATGGTTAGGACATGTGTTACGCATTCATGCCTAGTCATCGCCTTCCTCGACGACAGGCAATGTTAGCTGACATAGGGTCAGGCTGGAAAAGAGCTAGCGGCGGTCAAACGAAAACATGGCACCAGTCAATGAAATCCACAACAGTTAGTCTAAGCCAGCCACGTAGGAAGGTGTAGACTTCCTGACTGGTTGGGGTCCTCTGGACGGTAAAAACCAATGGTTGGAAACAATTGGTGACATGGCTCAAAATCGTTGTCAATGGCGCAGATGCATCCACTCCTTGTGACTTATGATTTCCAATGAAACTGTTTTGTTCTTCGTTATTACTATTCCTTTGTCTCATACCTCTGTTTACTGTCTCTAATATGCATTTCTCCTTCTTTCTTCTCTTGCTTTGTGTGCTACATGGAGTGTGGTGACTTGAACTGCCGCACATATGTGCAAAGTTCTATGTCGAAAACAGACAGACAGACAGACTTCAAGACTGGAGTCAATAAAGCTAGTGCACTATGTAATAAATGGCTTTTATAGATTCTTAGTACTACCTCAAGGTGTTGTACTTTTGGAATAAAAAGCCACTATGAGCTAAACGAAAACAGTTCTAACAATTTCCAAAGCTTTTTGCTACGACTAATCCAAGTATCAGTTTAGTGTCACGGAAGCTACATAACGACTGTAGATAATGATTTCGACTTTGCCAGTCATCCTTGCCAGTCACCATTTACTTGGATACAAGACACAGGTATTGTGTGAAGACTCATAGCTATACTTAACTGCTTAAATCTGTGAGTCGGTGGCACAGCGGTTAGGACTCTCGCCGACCATGCACATGGTCTGGGCGACGGCCGACGCACACCTGATATCAATGGTCGGCCTGCGAAATTTGGGCTGCCGATATCACATGCTGAAAATTTCATACTTGTATCAAAAATACGGTGTGGAGTCAAGCTATAATAAAATAAAAATAAATAAATAGGTGGGGCATGGATGGATTAAAAGTATCTACGTTCTGCTTGAAAGTCCGGTAGGTAGTTCAATAACATCGTGTTAATTCTGATTACATCTGGCTTAGAATATGAGTATTGAGTTATAATCGTTATTCACCATGATGTTGTTTGAAAAATATCTTTTTTTGTAAGCTGAAGGTTCTATGTATGAATTATCAACAGTTTGAACTCTTCATTCATCTAGCGAAGTACTTATCGTCAGATATTGGCTTCAACTTTCATTATTACCTCATTAAATGGAAATTAGTTGATCAGAATTGGAATATGTTAGATGATTTCTATAGAACTACTATTTACATTGTGTCATAGTGGTTTAATGTTAGAATGCGTGCTAACTACTCACGCAGTCTTGATCTGACTCCCGGTCGACGCACTACTAAACCTAGCCTAGTCAATCAACTAAAGGTCTGTAAACGCGGAAACACAAGGAAAGGTAGGGTGTAAGGTCATAAGTAAACTCCACTTTACTAAAAATGTCAAAGATTGGAGCTATATAAACATATATATATGACTTGGCGCGTCATATAGAGCATCTCAAACAAACTACAGACCTTCATTAACAGTTGTCTTCGCTCAATACCACTCAAGATCAGATGGCCGGCCAGAGTTGATCAGCAACAGAGATCTCTGGCAATGAGCGAACCAACACAGCAGGAACCGATTGTGAAACAAATAGGCAGGAAGAAATGGAGATGGATTGGCTGGCCATACTCTGAGGAAACCAACCATCAGGTGACATCACTAGACAAGCCATCACTCGAGTGGAACCCGAAAGGGAAGCGGCGAGTTGGTCGTCAGTGCAAGGGTGACTTGGAGGAGGTGATGTGAAGAGGAGATGAAAGCGTGTGGGCAGACTTGGAGCCAGGTGAAGACTCTAGCAGAGAACGGAACGCAATGGAGACGCACGGCTGAAGCCCTATGTTCCTCTAGGAATTAAAGGAAACAATAATAATACATATATATATGTAATTGAGAAGATTTGTAACTCAGGTGGATGATTTTGATGTACTTGTGTTCTCTGAGCAGGGTGGTTTACTTGGGAAGCCTTAATCGCCTTACTAGGCAACATCTTCTGCGCATTCCTCAATTTGAAGACTTCAAGATGTTGCCTGGTAGGGAACTGAAAGCTTCGCAAGCAAACAGTCCAGCTCGGAAAACGGTCGGTCGGTCAGTTTTCGACATAGAATTGAACACAACAATATCAGTGTATATATATATATATATATATATATATATACCGAATTCCATTCCCACTGCTTACTGTATTGAAAACCTCACTCAATTTTTTTTCTGAATAACCTAATTCTTTCATCTATTTTACTGTTATTTTTTCAGTCTTATACAACATAAAACGGATTTCGAAGTAGTGCCTACAGAACGTCCTGTACCTCTGCCTTGTAAACACTGCAGCTGTGCAAGTTTTCATGTGATGCCAAAATTCGGAAGTCAAATAGCACGTTGTCATTGCAAACATTATGCTACAGAACATAGTGTGGTTAGTTGTGAATACTATACTAATAGGTTATTTTTTTTCTGGTTTTGTTTAATACGTGACGTGTGACTGAATACCTTAAACACTAAGTGGTATTCCTCGTGTAACAGATTTCATAGCCAGGTGGTATATAAAAGAGGCTGAACATTATGCTGTATAATGTACATGGTAGTTCAATAGGATTTACGCTACAGGATTTTCATCATGAGCTGACATTAGTTAGAGAATCATTGGAAAACCTGGGAGTACTGGACAGCTGTTTCGTCCTAGTTTGGGACTCTTCATCAGTACACACCCACACTCGGGGTTCGAACCCAGGACCTTCTGGTTACAATGCGAGCTCGTATACCATTAAGCCACTGGGACCCGATCCAATGGCCAGCCCATGAATTCTAACTTCTGCCGATTCACGATATAACGCAACCGCTAGCCAATGTCTTCGGCGAGTATTTGTCCTCACACCCAACCTGCTGCACCCTACTGGTCACGACTTCTCACTAGAACCCCAGGTAACTACCTACCTGAATAGGGCAAGGTTATTCTGCCGCTTTTCCATTAGGATAATAATTTATGGTTGTGTACGAGTAACCAATATGGAATCACAGGAGCTCTTTGCTGCAGACTGAAGTCATTTATAGAAACAGTGACAATTGAGAATCACTGGATGACTATCTTATGAATATTTTTGGATTATCTAACAAGGAACATGCATAAACCCCGTGAAGAATTCAACCATCATTATTTTCACCCTTCATAATCGAAACTTGACAGTATCGTTTAACTCAAGGTGGTACAGATGACGATGTCAAACCCAGACAAATCTGAATAAGCAACACAAGCGTTCACTTACTCTGGAATGAATATGGAAATCAGACAACAGTTATAAAGCAGGCAAAGTTCAACAACAGCGTCCCAAGGGATGCGAATGCACGCGTGCCCTTTAGCCGACCAATCATAAAAAATTAGGAACTTTTGCACACGAAAATGACGTATATTTACAAGAAAATGCATGAGATCACAATACAAAAGGGTATCTTTCTCTGACGTGATTTAAAAAAATATCTCCCAGCTATAATAAGGAGTATCAGTTGCTAAGTTAGACTAGTTTCTGTACATGTATTCACCGAGGTGACTGAAGATGAGCTGTTTTTTGTGAATCGTTTATCTCTCTTATCCTGTTGTGCAGTCTTCCCCGAAAGCGCTCGGTTGAATAACTATGGTTTCCAGTAAGAGGATCAACAACTACTTACCAGGAAAATGTGGATAATAGAACAAATTCAAATAAATGATATCAACTCTAAATCTATCCCTAATCGTAACCCTAACCTTAATCCTGACCTTAACCCTAAACTCAACACTTACCCTAACCTTAGTCCTAACCCTAATTACAACCCTTATATTATTATTGTTCCCTTGGGTTCCTAGTGGAACATAGGGCTTCAATTGCACGTCTCTACTTGCTTCTGTCTTCTGTTGTACTTTTCACTTGCATCCATGTTAGTCCATACTGTTTCAACTCTTCTTCACAGAATCTCCTCCATGTCACCCTTGGACGTCCCACTCGCTGCTTCCCTTTCGGGTTCCACTCAAGCTATGGCCTGACGCGCGATGTCACCCAGCGGCCTCCTCAGCGAGTGTCCAATCCATCTCCACTTTCTCCTGCATATTTGTTGAGCGATTGGTTCTTGTTTTGTTTGTTCCCATAGTTTCTTGTTGGTGATTCTTTCCGGCCATCTGATCTTGAGTATAATCCAGTCCCCCACAATTAGGAATATCATTGGTGATAATAAGCACCCTTGTCTGACTTCTGTGTTTACTCCAAACGCCTCGCTGAGTTTTCCGTTGTGGATCACTTACAGCTGTTGAATAAGGTTGATGAATATTTGGGGTACGCCGTAGTACTCGAGTAGTTTCCAAATTACTTCACAGTCAACGCTGTCGAAGGCCTTCTCAAAGTCTATAAAGTTGAGGTAGAGGTTTGATTGCCATTCCATGCTTTGTTCGATGATGATGCGTAGAGTTGCAATTTGGTCAGAACATGATTTGCCTTTCCTGAATCCAGCTTGTTCTGGTCGGAGTTCTGTATTCAGTGCGTCCTTTATTCTCTCCAGGATGATGCGACTCAGGATTTTACTTGGCGTCGACAGGAGCATGATTCCTCGTCAGTTCTTGCAGAGTCCTAGGTCGCCCTTCTTTGGTAGTTTCACAAGGTAACCTTTCCTCCAGTCAGTAGGCACCTGTCCCTCCTTCCAGACCTTTTGCAATAATGGAGTCAGCATATCTGCTGTCGTCTCTGAATTACAACCCTTATCCTAACCGTAAGCCTAATTATTATTAGTAGTAGTAGTTCCTTCACGTTCCCAGTGGAAGATAGCGCTTCAAACGAGAGGTTTGAAGTTTCTGTAGCAGGATAGGGTTGCTAGTCTCATGCCCAACCATTCCTCTTTACCAGTCTCATTTCTGACTTAGCGAGGTAAAGGAGTGCGTTGGCCGGGGATCTAACCCCGGACCATGTGCACGGTCAGTGAGTGTCCTAACCGCTTTGCCACCGACATACTAACCGTAAACCTAACCCTAATCCTAACTATGACCCTGATCCTGACCCTAATCCCAATACTTACCTTTACCTTAATCCTAACCCTAACGAGCTATTAACATATTGTCAAAACAGTACTTAAAAACGTGATCTGGGTGAAATTTGCTTCTTATTTGATGAATAGCGTTGGTATTTCAAGTATGATAATGACAGGTGCCGTTAGCCTGCGTTCAGGGTCATTGGAGCGTTCTCACTCCTGGGACGCTATTGTTGAACTTCGTCATAAACTAATAATAACATATTTATTCTAGAAAATATGTTAACACATAGTACAGAATTTCCTTACACGATTTTCAAGTAAAATGGTATTCGGCAGTACATCATGTGAGGCTGAATTATTCCATCTGAAGCAGCGACCAGATCTACGTTATATTTCTTCCTCCTTTTTGTTGAGAAGTGCTCTACATTACAGCAAACTAAAACTGTGTGTGTGAGTTCATATTAGTGATCCGAAAAAGAAAAACACACAGTTAGACGATTAAAACAATAAGAAGAAATGGAGATGAGTTTATGCAGCATTATACCAGATGAAACTTTTAACATATGTGTAAAACTTGGACACTGTGGTAGTAAGTTATTCCATATTAGTTTGTTTATTAGATATATCACACAGTGAAACAGTATTATTAATACTGGATGACGTTTCGAACAAAATTTATTGTTCATAATCATATCAATTATAATCACACGACTTTGAACTTCAGTTTTATAGTTTTCTTTGTTCTCTCCTATTTGTCGTCGTTGGGATAGTAGAATTTTCCAGATGTCTGGCTGGACAGGTGTTGAATCATTCCTATTACACGTATTTTCATTCAGTTGATTCGATAAACAAAGCTTCTGTTGTCAATCTCTCCCTCCAACCTGCTGTCACATTAGATTTTAAAACTGTCATCCTATCCCATCCTATTGTGTGGTTGTGTGTAACTGCATGTAGTGCTATAGCTGAACTATTCTCTAGATTTCTTATCTTATTCTGGTCAACTAATCTAGATTTTACTGCTAGGTTTTTATGTTCGGCTAGTCTAACTGCCCCTGTTCTACTAGTTTGACCTATTACTGACAATCATTTCAGGCAGGGTATTAGATAAACTAAATTGTTTTGTTTTAAAGGCTCCACAGGATCCTCTAACCGACAAAGCTTGTTTCTAATTGAGTTTGTGGTTGGTTTGAATGCCAGCCACTTTTATTCCTGACTGCCTTGTTAAGAATTCTTCGTAAGGTTTCCGAGGTTCCTTCCTTGTATGGAATTACTACTGATGATTTAGATTCCTTGGTGTTGTTGGTGTTGTCATTATCCTACGCATGTTTGACATGCATGTCGTCATTAATATTAATATTATTATTATTATCACTACCACTACTATCATTATTTATTTTATTTTTATTTTTACATTTCCCTACATACTTTCTGACTAATTTATCAGGGTAATTATTAAGTTTCAACGCTTCTCTTATATGTCTCATCTCCTGTCTTAGATTTTCCTTGGTACTACTTAGTTTTTGCGCTCTATTACTTAAACATTTCAAAAACCTAGCAACAAAATCTAGATTAGTTGACCAGAATAAGATTAGAAATCTGGAGAATAGTTCAGCTGTAGCACTCACAACATGCGATTACACACAACCATACAATAGGACGGCATAAGATGACAGTTTGTTTTAAAATCTAATGTGACAGCAGGGTGGAGGGAGAGATTGATAACAATGGGAGCTTTGTTTATCGAATCAACTGAATGGAAATACGTGTAATAGGAATGATTCAACACCTGTCCAGTCGGACATCTGGAAAATTCTACTACCACGCCAACGACGACAAATAGGAGAGAACAAGGAAAACTATAAAACGAAAGTTTCGAAGTTGTGTAGTTACAACTGACGATATGATTGTGAAGAATAAATTTTGTTCTCAACTCTTGTCATTCAGTAAACAATAATACTGTTTCACTGTGTGTGATATGTCAAAAAAAAACAACACAATGTGGAATTGCACTCTGCCATAATACCCAAGTTTTACACATATACTGACGTAGATAAGACTTTTGCCATTTGTGCTACAAACATGTTTCGCTACTGAAATTGATTATTTTTTTTAAAGTCAATTTCATAGGAATTCGACTGATGTATAAAAAATATTTCGCCACGAACCCACATCAGTTGTAAAAGACGACTGGAAACTATGGAGTACTAGGTGGACACTTTTGCCCTAATTTTGAACCCGGGTAACACAATGCTAAATTGTGAAATTAGAGAGAAATTAGAATTTATACACTGCTGAGTTTCAGCCCAGAGGTTCAACGAAAATTGTACTGGTGTAGTATAACCAGAAGATCCTAGGTTCACTCAGCATGGTGAGGTCATAGATCCCAAACTGTTGTATGGTTTTCGTTGGTCCTCTCTCTCTCCCTCTACCTGATATCACTTCATAGCATTATTATTATTATTGTTTCCTTTAATTCCTAGAGGAACATAGGGCTTCAGCCGTGCGTCTCCATTGCGTTCGGTTCTCTGCTAGAGTCTTCACCTGGCTCCAAGTCTGCCAACACACTTTCATCTCCTCTTCACATGACCTCCTCCAAGTCACTCCACCTTCGCACTGACGACCAACTCGCCGCTTCCCTTTCGGGTTCCACTCGAGCAATGGCTTGTCTAGTGATGTCACTTGATGGTTTCCTCAGAGTATGGCCAGCCAATCCATCTCCATTTCTTCCTGCCTATTTGTTTCACAATCGGTTCCTGCTGTGTTGGTTCGCTCATTGCCAGAGATCTCTGTTGCTGATCATTTCTGGCCGGCTGGCCATCTGATCTTGAGTATTGAGCGAAGACAACTGTTGATGAAAGTCTGTAGTTTGTTTGAGATGCTCTTCATGACGCGCAGTGCAAGTCTCTGATCCGTATAGTGAGTAGCACTGACTTCACATTGGAGTTGAAAATCCGGATCTTATTTTTGATGCTGAGTGCTGTTGACCTCCACACAGACTTGAGAGTAGTGAAAGCTTGTCTTGCTTTTCCGATTCTTGCTTTGATATCCTCGTCAGTTCCGTGCGCCTGTAGTTGAAACGATGCTTCCCATGTAGGTAAAAGAGGTTGTTTCTTTCAGGTTCCTTCCATTTATGCTGATTGTTGTCTGTTGTTGTTGTTGTTGTTGCTGTTGGTGGTGTTGGTCAGGAATCTTCATCACCTCTGTTTTCTCTATGTTCACCTGAAGTCCTATCTTTGATGCTTCTTCTGCCAACTTGTTGCTTTTCGCTTGCATATCTTTCAGTTTGTGGGAAATCAGACATATGTCATCATCGGCGAAGTCCAGATCCTCCAAGTTTTTTGTGTGAGTCCATTTTATGCCTGTTTCCTCATTGCCCGCTGTTTGTCGCATTATCCAATCTACTGCAATCAGGAAAATCATTGGCGATAGTAGGCAGCCAGCTTGTCTTACTCCTGTCCTCACTTCATAGTATACTATACCTTAAAATGTAAGTGTATTTTCATTCTGTCGATGAATACCAACGTCCATTGCTTTTCTTTTTGTTTAATAAATTTTAGGTGGCTCCATACTTTTGTTCAAGGCCTAATTGTAAATGTGATGGTTTTAAAACAAGTATGCATTGTGACTGTGGTATTGAAGCGCATAAACACGAAATGATTGTAAGTGATCGCAACTTTGTATTTTTTTGTTATACTATATTAGTATTGTTCCCTTGGGCATCTGCATTTCACACTGTTCTCTTCAGTTGGCCCCACGATTGCCCTTAAACTTTCTTCTCCCCCTCACACGATGTCTTTCCTATCACCTTCGGATGCTGGACTCATCGTTTCCCATGCGGGTTCCCCTCGAACGATGGCCTGGCTAGCGATTTCATTCTACGGTCTCTTCAGCGTATGGATGATCCACTTCCATTTTTCTTTGGCGTATTTGTTGATTAATCGGTTTTTGGTTGGTTCGTTTCTAGAGTTTCTTGTAGTTGATTCTTTCTGGACGACCATGCAATCTTCACTGTCAAGAGGAGGCAATCATTGACACAGATCTGCACAGGGCCTGTTGGAAATGCTTTTCATGATATATGCACTATGTTTCTGACCCATATGAAAGAATCGGCTTAACAGTGGAGCTGGAACCTGAACCCTGTTCTTTAGGCTGATCACAGCATATTTCCCAAACGATTTCAGTGTGATGAATGTTTGTCTTGTCTTTCCGATTTTGGTTGTGTCTTCTGTAGTTGAAACGACGCTGCCTAGATAAGTTAACGAACTGATATCTTTCAAGTTTCTTTCCACGGATGGTAACTGATACTTATTGCTGTTAGTTGATTGTATTCAACAGCTCCATCTCCTATGTGTGCATTTTTTACAGCTTCTTCTACCGACTCTTTGATTTTTACCTCTAATTTTCCGAGCTTGTGTGACACTAGACAGAAATCATCTGCGAAATCCAGAACTTCTACAGTCTGCTTATCGATCCAACGTATCCCTGCCTCCTCGCTCCCCATAGTCTTCCCCATAATCCAGTCCACCACAATCAGGAATACAAGTGGTGTTAGTAGATAGCCTTGCCTAACTCCTTCACTCACTTCCAAGGCTTCACTCAGTGTTCTGTTGTGAATTACTTGACATGTGGTATTGTCATATAGCTGCTGAATTAGACTGATACAGATATGGGACACGCCAAAGTGTTTTAAAGTATGTTATATGTTATTTAATTCAATTTTAGATTTTCCCGCCGATTGATTGGACCGAATTGCTCGGTCTACAACACCAAAAACAAGAAACGAAATCCAAATTTTCAACATTAATGTCAATTCATTGCTTTTGTATAGCTCAGAGAATTGCTGTGTCAAGTAAAGCATTTTTAACAGGTTCTTACAACTTTCATAAACAGATACCTACACTCGATACTGAATGCCAGGTAACCGGAATTGAAGGTAAAACAAGAAGAAACTCTGGTGGCAATGAAGCAACCAAGAAGCTATTGCCAGACAAACATGTAGAAGGAAACACAGTTGAATTGGACGTATGCTGAGAAGATCATCGAGTAACATCACTCGGTGGTCAGATCCTCGATTAGAATCTGAATGGGAGATGAAGAGTTAAGAGTCCTAGAGTGACACGGTGGAGATCATGTGAAGTAGAAATGAAAGCTTGTCAGCAGTTGTGGAGCTGACGGAAAACGATTGCAGAGAACAGGGTGGAATGGAGAGGTGCTGTTGGAGTCCCATGTTCTATTTAGAGTCTAATGGGACGGATAATGGGGATAATTTACTTACTGCGATAAAGAAAGCATTATGCGTGACACCTATAATTCATTAAATAGTCAGTAGAACAACTGGATCTCGTCTTTCCAACTAATATCATTTATAGGTACAACATTTTCTTTCTTTCTTTTCCTTATCTCTCTTTTTTTCTTTTTTTCCGTTATGTGCTGCTTTGTTTCTTTCTCTCGCTTACGCCAGTAAATATGACAGCACCTACTTTTCTAACACCTTCAAACACTGTTCAACTTTGGCTTTGCTACCGACATGCCAATATGTTGTTGTCATAATGAACTGAGATTTCCTTAATCTATGTTGAATTCTATTTGTTGGTAATGTACTAACTAACTGGATGGAATACTGTAGTAAAAATGCTGAGAATTCCATTCTGTATCACAAGTACTGTTTTGGAATAAAGCAAATTATTACTATTATTGATGCAGATAATGACAATAACTACAGTAATTCTAACCATTATTATTATCATCATCGGAAATAGTTTTTTATTCCTTTACGTTCCCTGTGGAACATAGGGCTTCAGGATAGAGGCTTGACATTTCGGTAGCAGTGGTATTTATTTTTGCGAGATGAGTTTGCTAGCCAGCCTCATGTCCAACCTCCTCTCTTTACCAGTTTTATTACTGGCTTAGCGAGGTAAAGGAGTGCGTCCGTGGCCGGAAATCGAACCCCGGACCACATGAGGCGTGTTTGGCGAGCATTTTACCGCTGCACCACCGACGCACATCAGAAATAGTAGATGCCACCAATCATATTATTATTCTCTTGGGTTTTGACTAGAACATAAGGCTTCAACAGCACATCTCCACTTCTTTGTGTTCGTTGTAGTTCTCTTTAACTGGCCGCATAGTTTCCCATGAGCCTTCGTCTCTTCCATATCACTTTCAGACATACGCCCGACTAGTTGCTTCCCACTCAGGTTCCCCTCGAGCTCCTGACTCGTGATGTCCCCCGTGTGTTACGTATGCCTAGTCATCGCCTTCCCCGACGACGGGCAATGTTAGCTGACATAGGGTCAGGCTGGAAAAGAGCTAACGGCGGTCAAAGCAAAACATGGCCCCATCAGTCAATGAAATCCACAACAGTTAGTTTAAGCCAGCCACGTAGGAAGGTGTAGACTTCCTGACTGGTTGGGGTCTTCGGGACGGTAAACACCAATGGAGGTTGGAGACAATTGGTGATATGGCTCAAAATCCTCGTTGTCAATGGCTGGCGCAGATGCATCCACTCCTTGTGACTTATAATTTCCAATGAAACTATATTGTTCTTCGATATTACTATTCCTTTTGTCTCATATCCCTGTTTACTGTCTCTATTATGCATTTCTTCTCTTGCTTTGTGTGCAACATGGAGTGTGGTGACTTGAACTGCTGCACATCTGTGCAAAGTTCTATGCTGAAAACAGACAGACAGATGCCCCCCAACGGTCTCCTCATCGTGTAACCGATCCATCTCCATTTTCTTCTGCATATTTGATTGATTCGCTCTTAGAGTTTGTTGTTGCTAATTCTTTCCGAACAGTCATCTGCTCTTCAATATGAAGCCGACGAAGGCAACTGTTGATGAAAGTATGCAGCAGGCTGGTGGAAATTCTTTTTGTGATGCACCCGCTAAGTTTCTAACTGACATAGAAGAATCGAATATTAATATTGGTGTTGAAAATCCGAATCTTGTTCTTTATGCTGAGGCGGAGTGCAGTGCAGCCGATTTCCAAATTGACTGCAGAATGATGAAGGTCTTCTGTTATGCCTTTCCGATTCTAGTCTTGATATCCTCATCGCTGCTGTCTGTAGTTGAAACGAAACTGCCTAACTGAGGAATAATAACTAAGTGAAGGCAGTGACGCCACTGAGATTTCTTCCGTATATTTTATTCCTAAAAAGTAGAAATAATATACACACAAATCAACACATGATAATAATCATTCGCGTGATCTCATTCGAAGAGTAAAGTACATTATTGGGTAAACAGTACTTGTGCGCTATTCAAAAAGTACTCAGTGATGATAAGGAGAAAAAGAAAAAAATGAGAATTGTCTCTTGATTTTGAGCAGTTAACAAAATTTTTCACTATTGTTTATATGATAGTCGCGGAAATGAATTTAAAGAATCATTAATCAGTTAACTGAAAGTCTGCAAGGATTTCCAACAGCCTGTTGCAGACTTTCATCAACAGCTGCCCACCTTCGCTAACTGGCTCCATACTGAAGATCAAATGGCCAGAAAGAATAAGTAACAAGAAACTATGGGAAAACACCAACAGGTGAGAGCCGATCGCTCAACAAATATGTAGGAGAAAGTGGAGATGGATGAATCGGGCATACATTGAGGAGGCCACCGAATGACATCGCGCGCAGTGCAGGCCATTGCTCGAGTGGAATCCAAATGGAAAGCAACGAGTGGGTCGTCGGTGTGAGGGTGACACGGAGGAGATCGTGTGAGGAAGAGATGAGAGAGTTTGGTTAATCATGGACCCAGGTGAAGAGGACGGCAGAAAACAGAACAAAGTGGAGATGTTTTGTTGAAGCCCTATGTTCCACTCGGAACGCAAGGGAATTATAATAATAATCATTAAACTGCAAAATTTATACTGTGAAATTTATTCTTATCTGATCACCATGCCAACTAAATTGTAAGTCAGAGAATTGTTACTCCTGTTGAGCACATTCGAAATTCTACCTTGATATTAATTCGATATTGGATTAGGCACTCCTCTTTATATTTCTTCACGAAACATTTAGATGGAAACAGCTAAAGAACGTCATGCAAGAGGTAAACCAATCGGTAAGCCGTCACCATATCAAGCTATGGGTGGGATAACTGGATTCAGCTCACTTGCGCCTGGTATTGCACGTATGGATGAAAGTGGTGCTGGTGGCCTGTTGTCAGAAGAAGAATTGAATGCACCGATTACATCATCTGATCATCCATTCTTACGTGGTCATGCACAAGCCGTTTACGCTTATAAATTAGCTATAAATGATGTTGAAGGTAAGCAAGTTGTTTCTTTAGTTCAAACATTATTTCTTATGCATTCAAATAAAAATGGCTAACTGTTTTCAAGAATTGGTTTGTAGGGATTTTATTTACTTTAGGTTAGACCACGGATTACCGAACAACTGTTTCGTCATAGTTTGGGACTCTTCATCAGTATGCCTCCACCGGGGTTTGAATCAAGGACCTTCCGGTTACAAGGTAAGGTCGTATAGAAGTTAGACCCAGTGGCTGAATGGTACGCGAGCTTGCCTTGTAACCGGAAGGTCCTGGGTTCCAATACCAGTGGGTGCGTACTGCCATTGTATCCTGAACTAGGATGAAACAGCTCTCCAGTACTTCCTGGTTTTCAATAGTCTAACCTGAAATAACTAACTTTGCCGGGTGAATGTACCCACACATTCAATTATTGGTTTGTAAGGATTCGATTTGATTGGTTACAAGATTTATTCATGAACTGACATCAGTTAGAGAACCATTGTAAAACCTAGGATTACTGGACAGCTTTACCGTCCCAGTGTTTGGGACTCTGCAGCAGCACACACCCACCAACATGATTCGAACCCAGGACCTTCTGGTCACATGGTGAGCTCGTAAACCATTCAGCAACCACTGGGACCCGATCCAATGGACAGCCCATGAATTTCAGTTTCTGCCAATTCACAACATAGCATGACTACTAGCCAATGTCTTTGGCGAGTGCTTTTCCTCACACCCCCAACCTGCTGTGATTCGTGAAGTCGTGACCAGTAGGGTATAGCAGGTCAGGTATAAGGACAACTACTCGCCGAAGACATTAGCAAGTGCTCGCGCTATGTTGCGAATTTGCAGAAATTTAAATTCATGGGCTGTCCTTTGGATCGGGTCCCAGTGGTTGCTGAATGGTCTAAGAGCTTGCTAGCCTTGTAACCAGAAGGCCCTGAGTTCAAATCTCTTATGATAGGTGTGTACTGATAAAGAGTCATAAACTGGCACGACACAGCTGTTTAGCACTCCCTGTTAGTTTTCTAATGGATCTCTGATGTCAGCTCATGATAAAAACCATGTACATGCATTCTTCTGCTTTGTTAGCTTTATTACAGGTTGTTTTATAGGGGTCTCTACCTAATTATCTAATCCCTCAGAAAAAGTTTCACTAACAATTAATCCTTCAGTTGACTTGAAACACAAATTGCTGACAAATTTCAGAGTCATGTGAAAAGTTTAAGTATAATAATAATAATAATTTGCTTTATTCCAAAACAGCACTTGTGATACAGAATGGAATTCTCAGCATTTCACTACAGTATTGCATCCATTTACAATAATCTCAGTTAGTTTTGACAATAACATGTTGGCACATTTTGACACATACATTCACTCACCCTACCTTGGCCAGAGTAAAGCTCTTACTATAATTTTGCTTCTTTCTTTTTATTATGTAAGCTCACTATTATTATTATTACTACCATTATTTCATTATAGCAAAAAATATTTATTCAGACATCTATAAAACACAAAATGATTGAGCAAAGAATATCCTCTTCGATAAATTCCTCTTCTGGCTCTACAATTATATATTATTATTTATTATATTATTGTTCCCTTGGGTTCGTAGTGGAACATAGGGCTTCAACTGCACGTCTCCACTTGTTTCTGTCTTCTGCTGTACTTTTCACCTGCATCCATGTTAGTCCATGCTGTTTCAGCTCCTCTTCGCACAATATCCTCCATGTCACCCTTGGACGTTTCACTATAAATATGAGTACACTAACCCTCTCATTTATCTATTTTTTTTGTTTATATTATTAGGCGCTGAACGTGAACGACCTGAAGTAGAATCACAAATGCGTCGTCCTGGTGAATCAGAATTAGATTACTATGAACGCCGTTATCAAGAACGAGTAAGTGCTGTGCTTTGAAGAATACACATGTAGAAATTTACGCATGATAGAATCTTAGAGGAGACATCAGTCCACCCTCCCCTGCCCACCCAGTGTTACAGGGAAGCCTTTGTGACGAGTCCCGACAAGCACAAGATGTGGGTCTAGGGTTTCCAATCGCCTAATAACAACTCAAATTACCTCATGATGAAAAGTCATCTGAACTGATTACCACATCGCACACTGACTGAGTGACAGAACTCAGACAGTGCTGCCAGGGGTTATGACAACTGCCTTTGTTATGCTTAGCAGCCGAAGGCGTACAAACCTAGCGAATAGAGTTAGTAGCTAGTATAGAATTTGAAAGACTGAGGTTTTAACGACGTTCAGTTCCCTATCCACTAACTGTTCCAAAACATGACTCCTAATGGACCTTATCAATCCTTTTCCCATGTTCGACAATGCTCAAGAATATTTGTTGTGCATTTATGATACGATTATAATAACTTCGGAATAATTAGTTCCCTTTATGGATTTAGATATTGAAATAAGACGTAATTATTTTGAATCGTGTAATGTTGTATTTGCCCAACACATTTCAAACAGTCTCATCACATATGGACTTGTCATAGGAATATGTATGAAATTAATAAAGAGGTAAGAGGTGAGAAAATAGACTTAGGTCAAGTTAAAAGGCCGCCATATTGAAGGTCAAAATAACAATGAAGATCACTAGACCAAATAAGAGAGCTAATAGTACATCTACCCTGGCTGGTATCAAAACAAAGTTTACCAAGGAAGGTAGGTTTAGTGTGATGACGAATTGTTGCTTTGAACGCATAGAGGTGGTTTAAACTTTATAATTGCTAGCTGGGGCTTCCACAAACTTTATTAGGATACGCCCCAAACACGTTTGATAGATAGGTTTAAAAGACGTACAAACATCAGTTTTATGTCCTGTTTGCATCACAGTTTCCGCCCTGTACGGGACAAAAAAGCCTCAGTGAAGTACCCCTTCAGTAGAATCCATCGAATATAGACACAAAACTCACTTGATGAAGGCGAAAGAAAGTTGACACAAACTCCGTTTGATAATAATTATCCAGACAAGTTCATAAGGAGATATAAAGTGATTAGTGGAATACCAAGACCGACTCTTAACTCACCGTTAATAAAGACAAATATATTAAGCTAACCTGTATAGGTGATAATAGCTGCTTGGTAAATTGATAACGGTTGAACACTGTGTTTAAGAAGACTTTTTATGCAGCTAAGATCATAATAATTGAGAATTTGAAGCCAATATATCAATCTTAGCCCTTTGAACATGCAAAAACTGATAACACATCGCACATTATTAACCAATCACAATGTACGTTTGGCCACATGTTCATAGGAAGGACTCATAGATTTCTGCAAATAACGGCTCCAGAGTATATTCCTCAATGGCTTCAGAAGCAAATAGAATTTCCAGGACCCATTAATGCTGAGAACGGGACGCCTAGCTCCTCTATTGCGAAACATATTACAGAGACAGGACATAAAATTGATGTTTGTACATCTTTTAAACGTATCTATAAAACGTGTTTGGAGAGTATCCTAAAGCTTGTGGAAGCCATAGCAATCGGGCAGTTTAAACAACCTTTATGTGTTCAAAGCAACAATTCATCATCACACTAAACCTACCTTCCTTGGTAAACTTTGTTTTGATACCAGCCAGGGTAGATGTACTATTAGCTCTCTTATTTGGTTAGTGATCTTCATTGTTATTTTAACCTTCAATATGTCCTTTAAACATGACCTGTCTCAGAAGTGACATGAGTTCTCTCAAGATTGTAGATACACGCATTTCTGACTGGTGAGTGCCAGCTAGCACGAAACCTAAATCAAGCCAGACGTCCTGATGACTGTCTCCAACCGTCTAATATCAGCAATTCACAGTGTACTATGACGGCTGGCCACCTAGAATGGTGACCAAACTTCAAACTTAGCTGACAGAATTTAATCTGTACCAAACAAAGCAACTGACACTGAGACACTGATTTGTGTACGCAATTAGATGTGCAACCGCGGATCACTGTTTTTAGGGCACTATAATTCCTGCTAGTAGATCAGAATTTCGAAAACAACTATATCTGTAGAGGTCTGTACACCCATTTAGTATTGTAAAGACAGAAGACAACGGCTAGGCGACAGATCGTTTATTCAGAAAATCAAGAGATATTTATAAATTTTTATTATTAGGGTTATTGTTACCAAACAAACAATCTCTTCTGATTGGTTGTTTTCTTGCTCAAGGTTATTCTGTTATCTCTTTGTGACCATTTCTCAGAAAGTTAAGTCATATTTCTGCGAATCATATTTCCACACTTTAACTCCGCTGTGACTGGCTGGTGATTTTCTCAAGGTTAAGCTCTGTTATTGTTCTTCTCATGACCCTGATTCGGGACATGAACATTTACGTAAATTGTTTTCTACAATTTAGCTTGCAGACAGCTCTCACCACAATATCACTAACTATTCAAATATGAACTGAATTGAAGTGAATTTTTACCTTAGAACTTTGCATAAAACGTGTACCATTACAAGTTGTCAAACCTCATAAACTACATACATATAAAAGTAGAGAAAAATAGAGATAAAACAGGAAGAATCACTACGTGAAGAATAGTGAGTATTTAACTGGACTGGGGATTCATAAAGACCGGATGCATCTGCACGGCTGAAAACAATTGTGAGACAGTATCACTAACGATCACCAGCCACTGGTTCTTAGTGTCTTCAAGACACTAGTCAGTCATTATAGACCTCTTTACCTGGCTTAATCCCACCAGCCAAAAGCTTCATGGATTAGTTCCACGCTTTTATTTGACCACCGCTCACTGACTGTTTTCAAAAACGCGACTGTACCATCACCCAACGACAACGACTGTGACTCCGTACAGGTAACACATATTCTCTTCATCTCAGTCGATTCAGCTCACAACCTCAGTAAAACCCACCATATGGTATACCATTTACCAAGGCAGATAGAGCGTTACCACTTTTGATCAAAGACCTGTTGTTACCTTCTTCATTTCCTCAACTTTCAACGGTCATGTCTCACAGCCATCAAATAGGTGTAGCTTCCTGCCAACTGCTCGGAAATCCACGTATGATAGTCAATACTTTCCACCGGTTCTTTTGTTTTACTCATCTTCATACTGTCCTAAAATATATTATCTGTTGACTAGTTGAATTATTTTTTTCTCTTTTGTTTAGGAAAAAGCCAAGTACATTAAAAAACCGCGTCAAATACAAAAACGATAATTGGAGGCTAAAATTCTTCTTTTTTTTAAATCTCTAATGTGCAAAAACATACATGACTTTTACTTATTATTTCTATACTGTTTAGTATAATTTGTTATCAAATTTACTATTTCATCTATTTATTTATTTTTGCCTCATTTCCTTGTTTATATATATATATACAGTTTAAACAAAAGTGAACATATATTGAACATTGAATTGTAATAAGCTTGTTAGAAATTTATTTTATTTTCTAGTGATACGCTTCTTTTTCAATTTTTATTTTAAATTTTACCATACTGTTTTTATTTCTTTTTCGCAAATCATATTTCCTCCAGTTATTTTTAATATTATTTTCTTTTGAAAATTTATTTTAATCAGGGAAAAAGTTAAATGTTCAATAGACTAAGAGTGGTCAGAATTCAAAAATGCATTCAATTGTTCAATATTAATTAAAACAAAATGTCTGACTCTGTTTTAATAAATGAAACATAAAAATAATAACGATGATAAATATGAATTTATTGGTGAGAAATGTAAAGGCACTATGTAAAGATCTTAGTCAATTGTGTGTGTGTTGGGTGCGGGGTGGGGTGAGGAGTTTAGTCATCCGGTGGACAAGCTCTAGCCATAGATCTGACAGGTGGTCCATTCCATGCATGCGATGTGGGTGATGAAAAATCATTATTATTGTTGTTGTTATTGCGATTATCATGTCCATCCCAGTAACCATCAGCATTTCTCTGCCTTCGTTCTCTATCTCGACGTCTACGTCGACCGCCACCAGCACCACTGGCAGCACCATGTAATGCCAGTGTTTTTGCTTCATATTCTTGTCTTACACGAGCCAATTCCTCTTCACGTTGTCTTGCTTGACGAGCTGACCTACTCTGGTAGACTTAAATGTTTAAAAAAATGTGGAATGATTTAAAATTAATAACCTTGTAAATACAAACAAAAAAGTATACAAAAATCTCTTAAATGTTCAAGGTATGATTTAGCTATTTATTATTACTATTATTAAAATATTTGTTTCCTTTAATTCCTAGAGGAACATAGGGCTTCAGCCGTGCGTCTCCATTGCGTTCGGTTCTCTGCTAGAGTCTTCACCTGGCTCCATGTCTGCCCACACGTTTTCATCTCCTCTTCACATCACCTCCTCCAAGTCACCCCACCTTCACACTGAGGACCAACTCGCCGGTTCCCTTTCCAGTTCCACTTGAGCGGTGGCTTGTCTAGTGATGTCACTTGATGCATTGTTTCCTCAGAGTATGGCCAGCCAATCCATCTCCATTTCTTCCTACCTATTTGTTTCACAATCGGTTCCTGCTGGGTTGGTTCGCTCATTGCCAGAGATCTCTGTTGCTGATCTTTTCTGGCCGGCTGGCCATCTGATCTTGAGCGAAGACAACTGTTAATGAAGGTCTGTAGTTTGTTTGAGATGCTCTTTATGACGTGCAGTGCAAGTCTCTGATCCGTATAGTGAGTAGCACAGACTTCACATTGGAGTTGAAAATCCGGATCTTATTTTTGATGCTGAGTGCTGTTGACCTCCACACAGACTTGAGAGTAGTGAAAGCTTGTCTTGCTTTTCCGATTCTTGCTTTGATATCCTTGTCAGTTCCGTCTGTCTGTAGTTGAAACGATGCTTCCCAGGTAGGTAGGTGAAGGAGGTTGTTTCTTTCAATGCTTGTGGTTCCTCAACTGAAAGATGAAGTACCTAGACCAGCAAACTGTAATTGCATTTACCCGTTCAACTGCACTTGTGATGGAGCCAGTTATATATTGGCTGTTGCTCTAGGAACTTGATTTTTCGTCGTCGTTGAGGAGGACCTACCAGTGTGGCTAAATAAAGAGATGAAGTGAAAGCCATCATCAACAGTTCAGTACTAGACCAACTGTTCCACACAGATAGTTAGCATTGAAGAAACCTTCTCTATCATCTACAGGGTACTATATAAATTGCCAAAAGCATACAGGTACCGCATGTTCCAAACAGCAGAGGTTATCACAACTCACCTTAGACAACCGCTGCCATGTGTGCAGAAAAAGCAAGTCCAGCCACTTCTACTGCCTTGACCAGCCTTCAGTAGAGACTATAAATTCATGAATTTGTATTATTATCTTTCCTAAATTTTCTGATATTCAGTGTGTAGTGTTATGTTGAGGCCATTCAACTGTAATCTATTGATATTATTACTATTGATTCGATGTTATTTAAACAGCATTAACGTTGTTCATGACACTTATTCATTCATTCACTATTATGGATGCTTATAAGTGTAGAACCTGATGATGGAGGGGTTATCGAAAAGAGTATTCTTTGAACTATCAATATAAGTTTTTCCTTAACCCTATTGGATAGATATCTGTAGAACCTAATGAAGGGGAAGTTACTGAAAAGAACATTCTTGAATCTGTCCCTCGAAATCCTGAAACCATTGATTTCTCCATTTATACTGTTGTTTTTTATTTCCTACAAGTCCTTGTCAGTACAGACGTATGATTCCATCAAGGGTTGAATCCACAAACAATTCAGATGAAAAGTTGTACATATGTTCTATCTACCCACTAGGCTGTAATCCAATGATCTCTGTGTTTGAACATTGTAATTTCAAATCTCAAACCTAAGTTAACTTTTATTTTGTGAAAGAATGGTTACTGAACGAAGAATACTCTTTTCGATAACCCCTCCATCATCAGGTTCTACACTTATAAGCATCCATAATAGTGAATGAATGAATAAGTGTCATGAACAACGTTAATGCTGTTTAAATAACATCGAATCAATAGTAATAATATCAATAGATTACAGTTGAATGGCCTCAACATAACACTACACACTGAATATCAGAAAATTTAGGAAAGATAATAATACAAATTCATGAATTTATAGTCTCTACTTCTCTAACAGAATGCAGTACACCGTGTACAAAGGTAAATCCTCATCTGCTGCGCTTACTGAAGCTGGTGTCCCCCAAGGTGCTGTACTCTACCCACTTCTCTTTTCTTTCTTTCTACATGACTTACCATCTTCAAATGACATTAATTTTGTCAAATATGCTGACGACCTGACTGTATCCTTGCCTGTCAAATGTCAAACTGACTGCTCTAAACTAAATAGCTTTCTGTCAGAAATCAGCCAGTGGTCCAAGGAAAACGGTCTTACCTTAAACCCCTCCAAATGGCAAACAGTCAGTTTCACCTTTAGGCACAAATCCGACCTAAACAAACTGGTTGGCTCTCACGAGGTGTGCAACATAGATGGCACTGAAATAGAAACCAAGTCGAAAATTAAATACTTAGGCATCATTCTATCTGCTGATCTCTCCTGGTCGTCTCATATCTTGGCGATTTCTAAGAAAATATTCCGTCTTACCTTCTACATCAAGAAGTTAAAACATTCTGGTATAACTCAACCCTTACTCCTACAATTCGTTAACTCTCGCATTCTGCCTATTATTCTCTATTGTTCCCCCTTCGCTTTTCCCGGGCTACTGAAGAAAGACTATAACATTACGCAGGATGTTGTCAGCAGGGTAAGCGACGTGCCAATTAACCAGCTTGTTAATATTATTATTATTTATCAGACTGATATCTTAAGAAAGCACAAAAATATAAATTTCACTCACCTTGTGGACCATCTGATCCTTCCACTTGATGAATTCCTAAATCTTTTAAAGGTGGTGCAGTGACAGATGCAACAGCTGCTGCAGCTAATGTTGGCGGTGGTATTCGTTTGTTTGTCTGAGTTGTCTCTGATGAATGATGATGATGGTGATGACCCGGAAAGAGGGCAGCGTTTATAGTCGCCGCAACACCACTTGCCAGGCCCAATCCTAAGCCCATTGTTAAACCAGGCGATGCATGCGATATACTTGCTGAATTATATCCATTGGGAACACCACTTCCTAAGCCATCACCTGATAACAGTGACGGATGAACTGAATGTGCTTTAGGTGTTAATCCAGCAGCGACAGCGGCAATTGCTGCTGCATGTGCAGCATTCACTTGTAATCGACCATTACGATGATAGTGTGTACGTTGTGAAACATCATTTTCCTCATCGGAATTATGTATTGTATGACGACTACCAAGTGTATTGTTATCATGACCACCACCTTTAGTTCGTATTCCGCCCAGACTTGTAGCATTATATTCGCTGCCAACACTGCCTGCATGATGTACACCTGTTAGGCCAAGTTCATTTTCTACTGGTCCACCGTTTTCTGTTAACCAACCAGCTGCTCTTGCTCCTGTCAGTACACTAATTTCTTGACTAGTAAATCCAGCGCTTAAAGCTGACTAAAAAAAATTTAAAAAGCATTTATTAGCGTTTAGTTATAAACACTTAAATATTTCCTGGAGAGAGATTTCATCACGAAATAACATCATTTAGCAAACCATTGAAGTCCAAGAGCAGAGCTAGATGGAATTCCCCCTGAGGCACTGAAAACGGCCCCAGAAATTGAGGCAGATTTGCTCACACTATTATTGCAAAACTTTTGGAAGGAAGGAAAGTTAGACTGTCGATTGGAAGAAAGGCTAGCTAACTTGTCAAGCTACCAAAGAAGGGCGAATTACACCTTTGCAACAACTGGTGAAGAATCATACGCTTGTCTACGCCAAGTAAAATAGTAAGTCGCTTCATCCTGGAGAGAATAAGGTACTGGATGAAGAACCCCACCTTACCAACCAGAACAAGCTGGATTAAAAAAAACGAAAATAACGTGCTGATCGAATTGCAGAGTATGTGGATGTTATCGTCCTTTTAGATGAAGACTCTGACAAATATAGAGTCTCCTAATCACAATGAACAGAAATCTTTGGATGTTTGACATACGATTTCACCCTAGGAAGTGTAAGATGATGCTGCAAGACTGAGCTGCGACGACTTCGAACTTAAAGATACGAGGTGAAATGGGGGTGGGTGTTGATAACCTCCCTAATTTGGGAGGTTGAACCAGCTCTTACAGGCTAATTACTGACGAAATCTCACACCGGATACAAAAGGCTCTTGTGTGATATCGTCTCTGGAGTAGAGTTGATATCAGAATGTCTATCAAAGGATGCATATTTACTGGATGACGTTTCGAACACAATTTATTATTGTTCATAATCATATCAATTGTAATCACACGACTTCGAAACTTCAGTTTTATAGTTTTCTTTATTCTCTTCTATTTGTCCTCATTGGGGTAGTAGAATTTTCCAGGTATCCGGCTGGACAGGTGTTCAATCATTCCTATTACACGTATTATCTCTCAGTTGATTCGATAAACAAAGCTTCTGTTATCAATCTCTCCCTCCATGCTGTGACATTAGATTTCAAATCTGTCATCCTATCCCATCCTATTGTATGGTTGTGTGTGATTGCGTGCAGCTCTAGAGCTGAACTATTCTCCAGATTTCTTATCTTATTTGGGTCAACTAATCTAGATTTTGCTGCTAGGTGTTTATGTTCGGCTAGTCTGACTGCCCCTGTTCTACATAAAAAGACTAGCTGCCCTTTGACCATGGATCTTCGATTTCTATCTCTCCTGTTAACTGGTATAATATGGTGAGTAATACTGGGGGTCAGACGTAGTGTTAGATGACGATGGAGAATCAATCGACGAGGGTGTGAAGCTAAATTAATTAAGATGGCTGGGACACTTGTTGCACAGGCCAAGCCACCGTTATTCTTAACTAACATAGGATTAGGCTGGATAAGCGACAGGGATAGTCAAAGAAAGCTCCGTATCAGTGCATAAACGTTTTAACAGTTGATCTAAGCTAGCCACGTTGCTGAAATCTTATAGATTCTAAGAACCAATAATTGGAGACTGTTGGTGAAATGAAGTGTGGCAACTTAAACTACCTGCTCAGCAGTCCGCTTCGTCCTCCTTTATGGCTGTGAGACCTGGCCATTGAGAGTGGAAGACATGAAAAGATTAGCTGTCTTCGATCATAGGTGTCTGCGTTCTATCTCCCGTGTTAAGTAGTATAATAAGGTGAGCAATATTGAGGTTAAGCATCGAGTGCTAGGTAAGGAGAGAGGGGAAATCAGTCGACGAGACTGTGAAATTACATCGACGATGAGATGGTTAGGACATGTGTTACGCATTCATGCCTAGTCATCACCTTCCTCGACAGTGGGCAATGTTAGCTGATATAGGGTCAGGCTGGAAAAGAGCTAGCGGCGGTCAAACCAAAACATGGCACCAGTCAATGAAATCTACAACAGTTAGTCTAAGCCAGCTACGTAGGAAGGTGTAGACTTCCTGACTGGTTGGGGTCCTCGGGATGGTAAAAACCAATGGCTGGAAACAATTGGTGATATGGCTCAAAATCGTTCTCAGTGGCGCAGATGCATCCACTCCTTGTGACTTATGATTTCCAGTGAAACTGTTTTGTTCTACTGTTCTCTCACACCTCTGTTTACTGTCTATATTATGCATTTCTCCTACTTTCTTCTGTTGCTTTGTGTGCTACAAGGAGGGAGTGTGGCGACTTGAACTGCCTCACATATGTGCAAAGTTCTCTGTCGAAAACAGACAGACAGACCGACAAACTACCTGCATTTTTGTGTGCAAGGTTCGATGTTCAAACTCAGCCACTGAGTCAGTTACTCTTATCTTATTCTATTTCGTTTACATTTAATAAAAATCAGTAAAGACTAAGGTGTGTTTTTTAAAAACAAAAAAGCAAACTTGTGAATCTACTCACCTTAGTGACAACACTAAGTCCAGGATGTCCTGGTGTCATTGGGACAAGTGGACGATCAGAATCAACTTCATGAATTTCAGGCATTGGTATAGAAAACGATCCAAGAAGGCGTTCAGCTTTACTAACTATCAATGGTGGATGTGTTGCAGCCCAATAACCTTCTAAAAAGTGTTTCAATGCTTCAGTAGCAGCTGACAAAGTATTCTGATCTATGATAAAATCAAATGATTCCTACAGAAGTCAGGGAAAACAAAAAGGAGAAATAGAGAGAGAGGAAAATATAAAAGAAAAGAAGGCGTTCAGCAAAGAGACTCTTTTCGGTGAATTCATTCACTGAGCTGTACAATCGCATATTTATACAATTTTGTTTGTGTGTGTGTATACATTAGATTTATAAAGTTTAGATAATTATGTAATATAAGTATTATTTGGCTTGGAGACAAACATTAAGATAGAAAATAAAATAGAATTGATTAAGTGAATTGGATGACGTAATGCAGTTGAGTAGAATTCAGAGTAGGTCAGGTTTTTTTTCCTTCACGTTCCCCAGTGGAACATAGGGCTTCAAGCTAATGGCTCGAAGTTTCTGTAGCAGTGTTTATTTTACAGGATGGGGTTGCTAGCCTCATGCCCAACCTTTCCTCTTCACCAGCATTATTTCTGGCTTGGCGAGGTAAAGGAGTGCGTCGGCCGAGGATCGAACTCCGGACCATGTGCATCGTCGGCAAGCGTCCTAACTGCTATACCACCGACGAACAGGTCAGGTTAGAAACAGTGTTAATGAGTGGTGCTTCAAATTAAATAAGGGTGGGTTTAGAGAATAATACAGTTGAAAATTAGGTAAGTTAATCGGATGACGTAACATAGTTAACTAGAAATTGGACGTGGGTCGAGTTAGCAACATTGTTAATGAGGGTAGTGATTACAAAAGGGTAGGGTAGAGAATAATACAAATGAAGATGTGAAATAATAAAATGCAAAAGACAAAATAATACAATTAGTAAGACTGAAATTAAGAAAGATTACGTCCATTGTAACTCGACCCACGTCCAATTTCTAGTCAACTATGTTACGTCATCCGATTAACTTACCTAATTTTCAACTGTATTATTCTCTAAACCCACCCTTATTTAATTTGAAGCACCACTCATTAACACTGTTTCTAACCTGACCTGTTCGTCGGTGGTATAGCAGTTAGGACGCTTGCCGACGATGCACATGGTCCGGAGTTCGATCCTCGGCCGACGCACTCCTTTACCTCGCCAAGCCAGAAATAATGCTGGTGAAGAGGAAAGGTTGGGCATGAGGCTAGCAACCCCATCCTGTAAAATAAACACTGCTACAGAAACTTCGAGCCATTAGCTTGAAGCCCTATGTTCCACTGGGGAACGTGAAGGAAAAAAAACCTGACCTACTCTGAATTCTACTCAACTGCATTACGTCATCCAATTCACTTAATCAATTCTATTTTATTTTCTATCTTAATGTTTGTCTCCAAGCCAAATAATACTTATATTACATAATTATCTAAACTTTATAAATCTAATGTATACACACACACAAACAAAATTGTATAAATATGCGATTGTACAGCTCAGTGAATGAATTCACCGAAAAGAGTCTCTTTGCTGAACGCCTTCTTTTCTTTTATATGACTGAATCGGGATTTTTACGAGGAAAATATGATAAAAGTTTAGTATAATTCACGTTTATGAACTATATATATATATATATGATCAAAGGCACCTAGCCGATTCATGTTTTTTCTATTTACTGTCATACACTCCTGGATCCCTATGGTTCACTCGGAATCAAAGGTAAATCATAGAGAATAGCAATTTCTTGAAGTAAAATGGATGAATTATTGTGGAAATCGACGCCACTATCTATCTGTCTATCTATCTATCCATCCTAGGACTGAGACTCCGATGGTATCCAATCCACATTTAAAAATGCACGCCTCTTTTCATCATTCGAATTAATGGTGAACAAGGTAGGAATAATCTGTTAACCCCGAAACATATTTACACTCATCAATAAAGTACTACTGAAATTCAAATAAGTAAGTAACAGAATAATTTTATTCGCTTACCGGTGAACATTGTAGTAACTTTTCAGCCGCAGCAGTTTGTACACCAGCATTTTTCTTTTGTAATTTACCACGATTTTTAATTAGTCGATTTAACACGCGGATACTGGAAATTTTTATATAGATGACAATCGGTGCTAAACACGTTTTAGATATTTGATTCGGATGGTTGATTGTATCACAGTCCAAGAGAAGCAGTTGCATTTTACTGCCTAAATGAAATATTCTCTCCAAATCTTGTTGTATTTCAACTTGATAAAATAAAGAGTTTTTAAAAAAATATTTTGTGATGTATGAAATGCTTATTAAGTATATCAGTAGTATATTACATGAAAGTGATAGCAGAATTTAATTTTAATTCATGAAAACATACGTAGTCCTTCAACAAACTGACTCTTTTCAGAGGCGAATTCATTCGCACACACACTTAGCTGTACAATCGCCATTATACATACTTATTTTTATATATATGTGTGTGTGTCGGTGGCACAGCAGTTATGAGTCCCGTCGATCATGCACAAGGTCCGGGGTTCGATCCCCCGCCGACGCACACCTGATATCTATAGTCGGCCTGCATAATTTGGGCTACCGATATCACATGCTGAAAACTGCATACCTGTACCAAAAAATACGGAGTGGAATCAAGCTGTAATCAAAAATAAATAGATAAAACATATATATATGTGACGGACGAGGATGTCAAATCGAGAATCGGGAAGGTGAGAAACGCATTCATCAACCTGAAACCAATCTGGAAATCTTCCGCTGTCACTCAGCCTGCATCAACAACAAAATTCGAATTTTCAATACAAACGTGAAGTCAATTTTGCTTTATGGATCAGAAACTTGGCGGGTCACCAAGAATATTTTCAAAAGGTTGCAGACCTTTATCAACAACTGTCTTCGCTCCATACTGAAGATTAGATGGCCGGAAAGAATCACAAACAAGAAGCTATGGGAACAAACGAAACAGGAACCAATCGCCCAACAAATATGCAGGAGGAAGTGGAGATGGATTGGACACTCGCTGAGGAGGCCGTTGAGTGACATCGCGTGTCAGGCCATTGCTCGAGTGGAACCCGAAAGGGAAGCGGCGAGTGGGACGTCCAAGGGTGACATGGAGGAGATCGTGTGAGGAGGAGATGAAACAGTATGGAATAACATGGACGCAAGTGAAAAGTACAGCAGAAGACAGAAGCAAGTGGAGACGTGCAGTTGAAGCCCTATGTTGCACTAGGAACCCAAGGGAACAATAATAATAATAATATACATGTGTGTACATTAGGTTTGTCCGATAAGAATAAAAATAAGTTAGAGTTATTGTTATCAAAGCATTTAGAAGACAAATTTCGCGAGATGATATCGTCATTTCGTAGTTTCTTTACAACCGCTTTACAACTAACATGGTTCACAATAATAGAAGAAAATCAAATGTATGACAATTATTATTATTATTGTATCCTTTAATTCCCAGAGGAACATAGGGCTTCAGCCGTGCGTCTCCATTGCGTGCGGTTCTCCGCTAGACTCTTCACATGGCTCCATGTCTGCCCACACGTTTTCATCTCCTCTTCACATGACCTCCTCAAAGTCACCACACCTTCGCACTGACGACCAACTAGCCGCTTCCCTTTCAGGTTCCATTCGAGCAATGGCTTGTCTAGTGATGTCACCTGATGGATTGTTTCCTCAGAGTATGGCCAGCCAATCCATCTCAATTTCTTCCTGCCTATTTGTTTCACAATCGGTTCGTGCTGTGTTGGTTCGCTCATTGCCAGAGATCTCTGTTGCCGATCAAATCTGGCCATCTGATCTTGAGTATTGAGCGAAGACAACTGTTAATGAATGTCTGTAGTTTGTTTGAGATGCTCTTTATGACGCGCCAAGTATGACAATTACTCAGTTATATAAAATAGAGGTACATACTAATAACCAATCATATTTAAAAAGGTCAAGTAGTCAGTTCATGTTAGGCGAAGATTGAAGTCTAGTGTTCTTTGTACACATCCTTTAGGATGTATGAGATTAATCCAAAGTGCTTCCATCACCTTCAATAATAATTAATTAGAGTTATATGAAGTAACTGCGAAACCGTCACTAATATTGATTGATTTTGTGACCTGATATTAATAAGTGCTTTGCAATGGATGACGATGATGGATTTCTGTTCAGATAAATGGCACTGAAATTTACTGTGTTTATTTAATAACCATTTTGGAACATGTTCTTTTTGACGACGACAATGGAACACTCTGTTGATTCTACCTATATATAAGTGTGCGTCACCGCAACTGCAGGTGAACTTGTAGATACAGTTTGAAATAGAGTGCACAGAATTTCGTCCTTTAATCGTAGGTAGGTACAGGGATCGAAAATGTTCAGCATATGTTTATATACATTGAATATTCTACAGTAGTAATCAATAACAATATTAGTGTTTTGTTAAATAATATCGATTTGTTAAGTAAGATCAGTGAAATTACAGTTCATTAAAGACGCTTAAATAATAATAATTATTATTATGATAATAATAATATAATTGCAAATAGAATATCAACTAAGATTAGGGAAATTTCTACAAAAAGTTGAGGATCATTCAAACCTAGATGGCGAAGGTAAGGACAATGTCTGAATTAGCTTCTTTTGGACACATAAATTAGGCCTCTTAATGTGGATCCCAACGGCCTCAGCAATATTTAGTAATCGAACTCTTAAGGCGAAGTTAAGATTTGTTGGTATGCGGTAAATGACTCTGCCTCGTTGGCATCAATCTTGTGTTCTGTCTGTATCCACAAGATGAGATAGAATAGTGCTACAAATAGACTTTGTTTGTTCTTCACTTAACCATGCAGAATGATGTTCGGAAATCCGATGAGAAACACGCCTAATTGTACGGCCTATGCAAATAACTGGCTCCACAGGAGCAGTTAAGTTGCTAGACACACATAGAAGGGGTGAAATTAGGCAGTTTATCTTTTACTCCCGAAAGCAAAAGAGGAGTGGTTTTGAAGACACAACGTAATTCAGCAGCAGGGAATGCTCTTTTTACCGCATTTCTAAGGCGTTGTGTTAGTATCTCGTTGATATTGTCCCTGAGGAAGTGAATTTGTCACATACACCTAAATCTTTGAATTCCTTTGGCATTTGAAATAAATAAAACATTTGGTTTCCTGAATATTTCAACGGGTAGGCGGAGTGACTGCACAATTAAGCGATCAATATTTCGCAAGTACAAATGTCTCCTAGTGAAATGTTTGTTTTAAACTGACCGCGAAATTTCGACAAGAGATAAATTTATTCATGAGCTACGGTACACACTTCGAGGTTTATCGGTTAATAGACTTAATGAAAACTTCATTGCATGTCACAGGAAATACAAAGAGTTACCGTTGTAATCACTACATGTTTGGTTACCTTCGCTGGTTGATCAATATCCTCAGATCATGCTTCATTCATCAGTTTGGTGTCCAGAAGTCTGTATAAACTGCACCTCCGACCTTTCTTCAAGTGTATAAAACGCCCAGAGAGATCGGTTCATTAGCTTTAGCACCGACACCAATGTCTCTCCATCTCGCCCTACCTTCGCGTTATGAAATCGCTTATATCTCTGTTTTCTGTCGGTAGGTGTTATCGGACTCCATCACCAGTCGTTCTACCTGTAAGTTCCAGGTTTAATTCCCACACTCATGTCCCAACCCATTGTAATCAGTCCTCCCTCAACCTGCAAGCAAAGTGTCCAGAACCTCCAAATTCACCGTGACACTCTGGATGCTCATCAGTCCGACGACTGTTTGAAATTCTGCAGGAGGTTCTGGGATGTCTCCTTCGTCGAAAGCTGTGGACCACAAGATCTTTATCTGGCAGAGGGGGACGTCACCAAATCTGCCAGTTGAACACACTGGTATATTAAAGAGGAATTGATTATTAAGGTGTAATATAAAAGCATTACAGCGAAACTTCAATTTGTGAAGTATACTCATATTCTGTTTCTTTTATCTTCCTTTCACGCTTGCTATGTGTGTTACCTCTTTGCAATTTAATCCGTTGTTACAGAAGACGTTATTAATGCACTAATTACAAACTCTTGTTAGTTGCACATTTTTATATGTCATCAATAGTTCCTTACCTTTTCTGATAACCATCATGCAATCAATTCAGTAGCAACAGCTTTCTTATTGATCTATGAAATTTTCAATCAATTCTGCATATTTATTATATTGATAATTTGAAATTAATCATTTTAGTTTTACTACTTATAAACACAAATAGTAATATATCAAAATAAGCAAAAAGTAATGTGCAGTTGTATCCAAGTCATACAAATGAAGACGTAAAGCTCTTTATCATTAATTATTAAAAATAAATAGTATCGAAAAAGAAGAGAGAAATTACTTAGGGAAACAAGTTGACGACTACGTCCTTTCTCCAAGATATTCTTCTTATCCAAATGTAACAGGTCTCCAACGCGTTTAGCCAATGAAATATTTGTACTCACACGGCTGACAATAATTCTATATTGATCAAAAATATTGATGAAAAATAACACATAACTCATAGATACTTTGAGCGATTGCATTATATTACACTGCCTAAAAAAGAACGGCGGGGGGTACATATGTCGATGACTTCAGCATTTGGGGCAATGACAGTTTGAGTCTTCAAGGGAAAAGACTATTCATTTCATGACGACGGTACACTATGTTGACTACCAGCCCCAATAAGCGAGACGCTTAGACTTCCTGACGCAGGATGAATTACAATAGCAATTGGCGTAAATTCCTGACCAATTACTAACTTGTCTGACAGAATCACCCACAACCAATGATAAAGACTGGATACAAGATACCTGTCACTAGCGATTTCTGTCTGTCTGTCTGTCTGTCTAGCTTCAACATAGAAATTTGCACCGGTGTGCAGCAGTTCCAGTCACCACACTCTATGTAGCACACAAAGCAAAAGAAGAAAGTAAAAAAACGCAACACAGATACAGTAAACAGAGATTTGGCACAAAAAGAATAGTAATACCAAAGAACAATATAGTTTCATTGGGTATTATAAGTCATAAGGAGTGGATGCATCTGCGCCAGCTAATCGACGACGAAAATTTTGAGCCATATCACCGATTGTCTCCATCCATTGGTTTTAACCATCTAGAGGACGCCAACCCGCCAACCAGGAGGTCTACACCTCCCTACGTAGCTGACTTAAACTAACTGTTGTGGATTTCATTGACTGATGGAGCCATGTTTTGTTTTGACCGCCGTTAGCTCTTTTCCAGCCTAACCCTATGTCAGCTAACATCGCCCGTCGTCAGGGAAAGCGATACCCAGGCATACGTGACACACGGGGGACATCACGAGTCAGGAGCTCGAGGGGAACCTGAGTGGGAAGCAACTAGTCGGGCGTATGTCTGAGAGTGATATGGAATATACGAAAGCTAATGGGAAACTATGCGGCCAGTTAAAGAGAACTACAACGAACACAAAGAAGTGGAGAAGTGCTGTTGAAGCACCCTATGTTCTAGTTGAAACCCAAGGGGAATAATAATATGATTGGTGGCATCTACTATTTCTGATGTGCGTTGGTGGCATAGTGGTAAAATGCACGCCAACCATGCGTCATTTGATCTGGGGTTCGATCCCTGACCACGGATGCACTCCTTTACTTCGCCAAGCCAGTGATAAGACTGGTAAAGAGGGGAGGTCGGGCATGAGGCTGGCTGGCAAACCCATCTCGTAAAAATAAATACCACTGTTACCGAAACGTCAAGCCTCTATCTTGACGCCCTATGTTCCACAGGGGACGTAAAGGAATGAAAAACTAGTTCCATCGATTATGATAGTAATAATAATGGTTAGAATAACTGTACTTATTGTCATTATCTGCATCAGTAAGCAAATTATCCCCGTTATGCGTTCCATTAGACTCCAAATAGAACATGGGACCCCAACAGCACCTCTCCATTTCACCCTGTTCTCTGCAATCGCTGTCAGTCAGCTCCACAACTGCTGACAAGCTTTCATTTATATTTCACATGATCTCCACCGTGTCACTCTAGGACTCTTTAGTCTTCGTTTCGCATTCAGATTCCAACCGAGAATCTGACCGCTGAATGGTGTCACTCGATGATCTTCTCAGCATACGTCCAATCCAACTGTATTTCCTTCTACATGTTTGTCTGGCGATAGCTTCTTGGTTGCTTCATTGCCACCAGAGTTTCTTCTCGCTTAACCTTCAGTTCCGGTTACCTGGCATTCAGTATCGAGTGTAGGTAACTGTTTATGAAAGTTGTAAGAACCTGTTGAAAATGTTTTTCTTGACACACTAAGTCTCTGAGCTATACAAAAGCAATGAATTTTACATTAATGTTGAAAATTTGGATTTCGTTTCTTGTTTTTTCTTGGTGTTGTAGATCTTCGCACTGGTTTCTGATCCTCGCAACCGCCTTTATTTGAAACGATGCTATCCAAGGAGATAGCTTATTATAGATTTTTTTCGTTGCTAATGATTTTTCCTTACTGTTGGTTAGTTGGCTATCTCGAACACTACTGTCTTCTCTATGTCCACTTGAAGTTCCTCCTTCTCTGCCTATTCTGTCAACTTATTTGCCACGGGAGATAGAATGCAGGCACCTATGATCAAAGGCGGCTAGCCTTTTCATGTCCTCCACTCTCAATGACCATGTCTCACAGCCATAAAGGATGATAGAGCGGACTGATGAGTAGTACACACGCTCTTTTGGTCGATGGCCGGAAATCACGTCTACGCCATAGACGGCATGAACTGGCATATGCGAAACCAGCCTTCTGTATCCGCACCGAGATTTCGTCAGCGATCAACTCGTTAGCACCGTCTGATGCAGCTTCCCAAGTAAGTGTAGCGATTTACCAGTCAATGTAAGATAGTAGTATTATACATGGATAACACCTTTATTCTTTGTGATAATGATTCCGATAGCAGTACAACAATAACTGACTTCAATGAAGTACATTCTGCTATGAAATTCACTTGCAAAGAGGAATGCCAAAACAAAATTGTCTTCCTAGATGTCCTCCTTACAAGAAAATCAGATGGTGGCATAAAGCAGAAACTTGCATAGGAAAAGTAAATAGACAGAACAATGTACACATTTCCACAGCTTCATTCCCATCCAGTACAATAGAAATTTAGTAAGGAATGACCCTCAGCCACAGTGTTAGAGCTATATGCTCAGAAGAGGCAATTGAAGATGAATTAAGCATTGTATATGATACCTTGATTGAAAATAGCTACCTAGACAAATTTATTAAGAAATACATGACAATGAAAGCGGAAATGGACTACTCACTATCCGTAACCAAGAAGCCTTTATACATACAACTGCAATTGAAGGGTGAAATACAAAGTGAAATAATTACGAAGAAATTAAGAAAATCAGTTCAAAGAACTTTTAATGTTGGCAAACTACACGTCATATTTTCTACACGACCGATGGTGATTCATCGATTGAAAGATGAAGTACCAAAGCTAGTCACTTAAAATTGTATCTACCTATTCAACTGCGCTTGTAATGGAGCGAGTTATATTGGCCGCTGCTCTAGGAACTTGATTTTTCGTGCTCGAGAACATCTCCCAGTATGGCTAAGTAAAAGTGTAGTGAAAACCATCAGCAGTTCGATATTAGACCATCTGGTCCAAACCAGCCACAAGAGCAGCCAGCATTAAAGAATCCTTCTCTATCATCTACCGGATACCAAATAAATTGCCAAAAACATCGAGGTACCACATACTCCAAACAGCAGAGGCTATCACAATTCACCTTAAACAACCGGTGCTCTGTGTGCAGAAGAAGCAAGTCCAGCCACTACTACTGCCCTGGTCAGCCTTCAGTAGAGACTATAAATTCATGAATTTGTATTATTATCTTTCGTCATTTTTCTGATACTCAGTTTGTAGTGTTATGTTGATGCTATTGAACTGTAATCCAGTGATATTATTACTAATGATTCGATGTCATTCAAACAACATTAATGTTGTTAATAACATCACAGTAGTTACTGACTAGTGTCCAATCAATATGCCCACTACAATCCTACAGGAGGTCAATCGCGAGCCCGAATCGTTCAGTGGTAACGTCTCTGAATGCAGCACTCACTGGGTGACACACGGTTTTGAATCTCAGAAGGAACATGAGTTCCTTCAAGGTGCTTGCAGATACGCCTTGCTCACTGGCGAGTGCCAACCAGTACGAAACCTAGGTCAAGCAAGGCTTCCTGTGGCTGATTGCCTACAACTATCTAATATCATCAAATCAATGTATACCGTGATGGCGGGCTACCTAGTGGCATAGTGGTCACATTGCAAACCTGTCTGACTGATAGAATTCAGTCTGCACCAAAGAAAGGACTAGACATATACTAGTTACTGACTGGTGTCCAATGAGAGTATTCTTTGTTTAGTGACTGTTCTTTTGGAAAACATTTTAATGGGTATTTTTAACCAGTATGCATAATACACAGTGTGATTTCTACTTTAAAAGTTAGACTGACGCGAATTTAAAACACGCAAAAAATATTAATAATAAAGCAGGATTTAATGAATTCATCTTATTGCGATGGAACTCTTCAGCTGAATACTCTACATACAGGGATATATATATATATCATTATTAGAATTACACTGGGAGATAGAAGACAAATAAAGTAAATAACATATTTCACATTCGAAGGGAAAATATACCAACAAAATGAAGGAGTAGCCATGGGATCGCCTATCTCACCAATAATAGCTGATATATTCATGGATTATTGGGAAGAGAATGCCCTTAAACCATTCAGGTCATCACTAAAATATCGGTGGAGATATGTAGACGACACACTAGTAATAGTGAAAAAAAACGATATTGAGAAACTCTTCACACACATAAACAGCCATGTCGACTCAATAAAATTCACTATGGAAGTAGAGAATGAAATTTGGGAACTGCCCATGTTAGACTGCAAAATACAAAGAATAACAGATGGTAGCATTAAAACGATGCTATATAGAAAAGCCATACACTTTGGAAGATTCCTTGATTATCATTCAGCTCATCCACTCACGGTAAAATGAGGATTAATACAAGGTCTTGCAGATAGAATAAGTAGACTTACAACAACGCCAGAGGACCAGTGTAAAGAAATAAACGTCCTATTCAAAATGCTACTCGAAAACAACAACCCAAAAGAATTTATCAAAGTTAATATAGAAAAGAGAAAAAAGAGGCTGAAGCCGGAGAATGACAAGATGGAAGAATGCAAAAAACAGTCACAATACCATATAAAAATGGTACATCAGAGGCAATTCAAAGAAACCTCAAAAATATCGGCATGCACACAAATTTTAAACCGACAAATCTAATCAAAAATAAAATAAATCAACTGAAAGATCCCATAAAAATGATGGATAAAAACAACTTGATTTACAAAATATCTTCTGCTGACTGTTCAACTAAATATGTGGGGAAAACGTCCAGATCACTCAAAATAAGAGTGAATGAACATAAACACCTAGCCAAAGGTCAACCAACAGGAACACAAGCCTACAAAAATCTTGAAAAAAAATTCATCGATAGCTCCACATGCATGGGACAAAAACCACAATATCGATTGGGACAATGTGTGTATTCTAAAAACTAACATGAACAAATGGAAAGAGAGACTTATAACAGAATCGATATTCATTAAAGTCACACCGGATACATGTAACAAGGGTGACTCAGTACAACTATCGACAAATTGGAATATAATTCTGAATGCAAAAAACCATGAATGAACGTGGAATATAACTTAAATACAAAAAAACATGAATGAGCAGAAATAATGAACTATATATATATATATATATAAACCATAAATGTGTGAATAAAACAATTCCAACAGCGGTGTGAACACGGGCAGTAATTTTGCTCGAAATATTACCAATAACAAAACTTATCGTCGTGTGTAAACTATTAAAATATAATTATACTTTATTTGATCTAATCCACAATGCTCAAACTTTTTACTGTTCTAAATAAACTACATTGAATTAATCATACAAAACGACGCGCGTGTGAATGTTTTTCAGATCATATTCAAATAGATTAGGGGAGATGGAGTATGAGAGATTAAAATTAAGATAAAATGCATTATACGGTTCAATAATATCACTTAATTAATTAAACAATTAACTATCAATGAGTGGAAGAACTTGAATACATCGAGGGGTACTCGACAGCTGTTTCATCAACCTTGTTTGGGAATTTCCACTGTGGATAAAATTTATTCTGATAAAGTTTCACAGTGTTATACGCGGTAAGTAATATTTACTGATAATGTTTCGAGCACAATTTATTACTGCTCATAATCATATCAAGTTACTCATACGATTAGTTTGGGACTCTTTAGAACTACTCACCCACTTCATTTGGAACCCAAGACCTTCGGGTCATAAACTAATTATTATTATTGCATTATTATTGTTTCCTTTAATTCCTAGAGGAATATAGGACTTCAGCCATGCGTCTCCATTGCGTTCGGTTCTCTGCTACAGTCTTCACCTGGTTCCAAGTCTGCCCACACGCTTTCATCTCCTCTTCACATGATCTCCTCCAAGTCACCCCACCTTCGCACCGACGACCAACTCGCCACTTCCCTTTCGAGTTCCACTCGAGCAATGGCTTGTCTAGTGATGTCACTTGATGGATTGTTTCCCCAGAGTATGGCCAATCCATCTCCATTTCTTCCTGCCTATTTGTTTCACAATCGGTTCCTAGTTGGTTCGCTCATTGCCAGAGGTCCCTCCCTATTGCTAATCTTTTCTGGCCATCTGATCTTGAGTACTGAGCGAAGGCAGCTGTTGATGAATGTCTGTAGTTTGTTTGAGAGATTATTCACCCACTGGGATCTCACCTACTACCCTGTGAATCCCAATTTCTGTCAATTCACCATATGTATAGCCCGACCACCCCTCCCCTCCAGATAGTGTCACAGGCGAGTAACCGATCTCTTACCTGACTTAGTGGCCCCTGCTGACTATGACTTCTCACTGCATACCAACAATCAATAATTAATCTCATGCTCATTGGTGACTGGTTCTAATACAGGAAGTTACCTAATGTTCTAGTGAGAGTTCGTAATCAGCGGAGTCCACTTAATCATGTAAGAGAACACTTACACACCTATCATATTAGCTGTAGATCTCTCTACATACATAACGCGCATCGACATAATTTGGAATTCATGGAGCGTTGGATCAGTTCCGAGTGTCTGAATGGTCTACAAGCTCGTCATATAAGCACAGGGATCCTGAGTTCGAACCTCCGCTGGTGTGTACTATTGAAGAGTCCCGAGCTGGGATGAAACAGCTGTTTAGTACTTCTTAGTGATCTCCCTAACCGATATCAACTCTTGACCAAATGAGAATTAATCATGAAACTTGCCAAGCAGGGGAATAATTTACGCAAAACATTTGTGAATAACGCCATTAAACAAAGTTATCAATGTACTTTTCCTAATATCACAAATACTAAATCATTTACACAACAACAACAAAAAAGTAAAAAAAATAAGCAAACCTTCCATCAAAATGTTTTTTCATTGCATCAAATATTGCCTTTTGCATCATATCAGTTACTTCATAACCTTTCAGTGCTGGACCAACAAATACAACTGGACGCATACATGGAACAATTTCATACGGTGGTACAAATTCATTCTAAACGAATATCGAAGAAATAAAAAACAGATATATAAATATATATGTATATTAAAACTGAGGCATTCGTGAACATTTCAAGACTGTTTCACCATTTAACTTCTAGTTTATCCAAGGATATCATACATCAAATGCCAACAAGTTGATATTGATGAAGATATTTTGATTTGGTTGTGTTCTCTGAGCTGAATCGGATCTGAACCTTCAACCGTATGTTTGGCGAGCATTCTACTGCTGAGATACTGATGTCATTGACTACTAGGCAGTAGCAAATACCAGGTTGTCCAGTCCTTGGTTCTGAATGGATTCTATCAGTCTAGTCGATAATGTGATCAAGAAGTTAAGAACCTGAATGTTTTCATCAATTCAAAGTACAGTGCGATGGTGAGTCACATAGAATTAGTGAACACACTGTAGACTTGACTTATAGAATCTATCAGCACTATGAAATAGGCACTTTCTGGTTACTAACTCATGCATCCACTACGGTTAGACGGGAGGTTAGCTCTGTGTTACTGTCACGACAGAAGACAAGGGCCGGGCAACAGATTGTTTATTGAGAAAATCAAGAGGTATTTATAGATTTTTGTGTACATTGTTATTAGCGTTATTGTTAGCCGAGAAGCAACCTCTTCTGATTGGTTTTCTTGCTAAAGGTTATTCTCTTATCTCTTTGTGGCCGTTTCTCAGAAAGTTAAGCCATATATATCTGTGAATCATATTTCCACACTCTAACTTCACCGTGAGTAACTGATGATTCTCTCGAGGTTAAGCTTTGTTACTGTTTTTTTGTCATGATCCTGATTCGGGACGTGAACATTGACGTAAATTGTTGTTGTCTACAATTTTTGGCTTGCAGACAGTTCTCACCATATTACCATCTCAGACTGCAATAGTGAATTATATCGGTCTTAATCTCCAAGGAGATAACAATTCCTTCATGTTTGATGATGACTGCCAATAATCTTCCTGCCTATAACTTCTCAAAATCGGACTTGAGATAATCATAACGAATGTGTAACAAGCAAGACTTAAGGGCTTCTTCATGAAACTGTAGTCTCTTACTGCATTGCGTAGTGCATGGTTTTGTAACAAAAATCATAATCTATGGGACATTCACTACAAGATACCGATTACTTCCAGAAACTGAAAAGTAATTCAAACATTAAATGCATTTTTACCTACCTGAATAACTCGGTCTTTCGTGAAAACAGGAGAGTGATGAATGCTGTGCAAATACTGAAGTAACACCTTACAATTTTGATGTCACTTAATGTAATTTTGTTTTGATCTCTGAGCTCACTGATTTGATTACGAAGCTTTCGTTGTCCCCGATATCTAGACAACATCTTGAACACAGTGAATTTGATTAAATTCTCCCCATGACTGATGATGCAATTGTATCTCCTGACAACCTTCTCTGTCGTAACTGGTTGCCTATTTACGTCTCTATTCATCGTATTTATTAACTTGGAATATGAACCGTCCCATCGCGTGATCTATTTTCTATTAGTTGGTAAATTTGGTCTATAGTTATGAGTGCGATTTTATTCCACAGAATTTCCAGGAGTCTATACGAAGACGTTCTCAAGCAGCAAACCTATGTTTGTCATTCTCTAGCCGACGAATGATTGGGACACAAACAAAGATAAGCTAGATAGTTTCGCCACATCTATTTGCATTTATCAGTTCAACTTCACCTGCGGTGACAGCCTAGCCAACCAACGTGTTAGGGAACATTTCCCGTCATCGTGGTTTGGCAAAGTACAAACAAAAACAATCCGTAGCTCCATTCTGTCACATTTAGTTGATAGTGGTCATGTAGTGGAGAAAACGAGAGCTTTCAGAGTAATTCATCTTCCCAATAGACTTCATGTTCGTCTACTGCAAACAGCTGAGACTAAACTATGCATCTATTCAGAAGAAGTTCTTACAGCCATTATCCTTCCTTTATTGGCATATTAAGACATAACCAACTGACGACTTCTCCATCAACCCTTACCTATATTTTCAAACTTCCCTCTCTTATCAACCCTTAGTCTTATCACATCTTCATTAAAAACGTATCTCATATACTTCTCTTACAAACTAGCATTACTTAATCGGTTCATTTGTTTTTCTTAGCCTTGTTCGACTACTTCATCTGAAATTTGTTCCTTTAATCATGCTGTTTTTCGTTATTCGTGTTATCACAGATCACCTCACTTTTTCATCCTTATTATTGATAGAACCATTATTATTATTATTTTATTACCGTTACCACTATTATGAATAACTGCACAATTTATATTCACCATCTTATTATCCTATAGACAAAACACCATGATTGGTTTATATTTGAATTTCTATTTGTAAAGTTATGTAGGTATATTAGAGTTAAGCCTGATGAGATCTAATTGAAAGCACAATATCACTGTTCGCTTAAATGTGTTGTTCTATACTGATGTGATTGTTAATCGATGGCTGATTCACTTGAGTACCAGGCACCCAGAAATTCCCAAGCATTACATTCAGTGTTTCCTCTGTTCAAAATTCCTACATCCTCACAATCGAATTAGTGTCTGTAATTGTCTACATGCATCGATATGAAACAGGAATACATATCATGTCTTTGCATCACGCCTAATTTATTTCCTTGGATTCTTAGTTGAAGGGGACGCCCACTCTGACCGACGGAGTGTTTATCACAGTTTGTGTAATTTAATTTGTGTAAATGGTATTGATCTCGCCTTCTTTGGCTGTTGGATCCTCTGGTCTAATGAAGTGATTGTGCCGGCTGGCTAGTTGGCTGGCTTGTGTGCTATATCTATTTCAAACGGTCTTAGCATTCTAGCTGTCATTTCAGTGATATTCTTCATACATGGTAGAGTGAATTTTCTTGTGATCTTTGATGATGGTTTCTTCTTGGTATTATGACTTGAGTTTAAACACTGTTTTTTATGAAATTGTATAGTTATTCATTCTTTTTGAAGATGGTTAGAGGGTACTTTTCTTCCATTCTCTTCAACACCGGAGTGCTACAGTGTGTTTGAACTCTTTTTCTTTGGAATTCACTGGATAATTGCTATTATAGTTGAGTGTTTGATCTATGTATGTGTGTTAATTTTCTGTACACTTGTGTTTTCCAATTTCCCTGGGCATGTAGACAATTACAGACACGAATCTGATTGAGAAAGAGTAGAAATTTTATTTTTTTTTTATATTTTATTTTTGATTACAGCTTGATTCCACACCGTATTTTTGGTACAGGTATAGGAATTTTCAGCATGTGATATCGGTAGTCCAAATTTTGCAGGCCGAACATAGATATCAGGTGTGCGTCGGCGGGGGATCGAACCCCGGACCATGTGCATGGTCGGTGAGAGTCCTAACCACTGTGCCACCGAAGTACAAACAAAGGAAACACCAAAAATAGTGCTACAGAATTTCTAGAAGTCATCGATTAACCAATACATTACTATCGAACAAATTTACCAACCAACAAAGAATAAAATCACATGACGAGAAAGTTTGCATTTCAAGTCAATAAAAATGATCAATAGAGATTTAAACAGGTAACCACCAATCATGGCAATGATTGTCAGGCGATACAATAACATCTTTCACATAGCGAATTGAAATAGATTCACTTCATATTAAAGCTTTATCTAAAGTGGTGTTGTCTAGAAGGAGGACAACGAAAGCGTCGCAATTCAAGTACTTTAGATGCAGCTGCAGTCTCGTATCATAATATTGTCTCCAGCTTAGAAAAGGGGGGCTAAATTTGTTCGCTGCACCTTTCTAGATTATACATCTGCTTTCGACTCAGTACCTAGGAACATTTTACTAAACAAACTTGCTGAAACTCAAACTGACTGTTGGGTTGTCAAATGGCTCCATTCTTATTTCTCAGGAAGAAAGCAGTACACTGTACATCAGGGAAAGTCGTCCACTTTGTTGCTTACTGAGGCTGGTGTCCCTCAAGGCGCTGTCCTATCTCCTTTTTCTGTTTTCTTTCTTCTTGCATGAACTTTGCTAAGTATGCCGATGATCTAACTATTTCAATGTCTGTTAACTGCCAGCTTGACTGAACTAAGATAAACAACTTTCTATCAGAAATTAGCAAATGGTCTTCGTCAAACGGCCTTAAACTTAATCCTTTCAAATGTCAGACTGTTAATTTCAGTTTCCGATGTAAACGAAAGTTAAATGAAGCCGTTAGTTCCTATGACCCTTGCAAAATTGATGATACTGATATAGAAACCAAGTCTGAAGTTAAGTATATTGGATAAATTCTTTCTTCTGACCTATCCTGGTCCTCTCATGTCTTAGCGATTTCTAAAAGGATATTTCGTTTGACTTTTTAAATTAAGAAGTTAAGGCACTCAGGCATAACCCAACCACTTCTCTTACAGTTTGTCAACTCATGCATCTCATCTATTCTCCTTTACTATTCACCCTTATTTTTTCCTGGATTGCTTAAAAAGGACTATGTCATACTTCGTAGAACTCTGAAGACTGTCAGTAGGACGAGTGGTATCCCATTGGGCCATATCGTTGACATTGTCACTGATAGGCATTTGATGTCATGCAACAAATTCGCCAAAGGAATTTTGTCAGACTCTGAGCACCCACTCTGTCCACAGCTCTAACCTTGTGTCTCCTCAGGTAAAACAATTCCTGTATTCTACCCATCCCTCTTTACTGCTCCCCATTAATCTTCGCTGGACTACTTAAGAAAGACTTTGCTTCGCTGCGTAGGGCACTAAAAGCTGTTAGTAGGGCAAGTGGGATTTCGTTACACCGACTGGATAACACTATTGTGGATAGACATATAATGTCATGTAAGAAACTAGCGAATTCTATATTGTCAGACCCCGAACACCCTCTCCATACGCAGCTCTCTCCTTGCATTTCATCTGGTAGAACTAGAAGCAACTATAGGAGGCTATATGCCAGGACTACCAAGTATAAAAACTCCACAATACCTTATCTGGCACAGCAGTTATGTGGTGAGAAAACTGTTAGGCATGACACGATCACCCGACTGCGGCACTCTAACAAATAGTTCCCATTAGCTTTTGTTCTCCTTTCTTTGTTACTATTATATTGTTGCTCATATATTCTATTACAGACTAATTTTATATTTCATATCCTGTGGTGCCTTGTTTAAATATGTGAATGTAATGCTGTTCTTTTTTATTTCTTTTATTTCTCTTTTCTCTTTTTGTTGTTGTTGCTTTTTGTTTTTAAAATCTTATAAAATTTATGGGGTAATTAGATGCAATATTGTAATGAACGCTGAAAATTCCATACCTGTACCACAAATACTGTTTGGAATAAAGCCATTATTATTATTAATATTATTTATTATTAAGAAGTCTTTTCAGAAGAATTTATGCACGTATGTCTAAGTATAAAAATTCCACGATACCATATTTAGCACGTACTTTATGTGATGCAAATGTTGTTAGGCATGAACTAACTAACCTTCTTAGCACCACTAAATAAACCATTTCCTTCACTTTTAAAGCATCATACTTCATTGTTATTGTATTTCTTATATTTATAATCCTCTCAATTTTTTCGTTTTGTTTATTTATTTATTTTTTTTCATAAGTGTGGACATAATTTTAAGCTGTATTATAACTGTTTATTTTGTATTTCCCCTCACTATACTATATCAGCAGAACATTAGATCCAATAATCGATAACATGCTAAAGTTTCCAAACTGAATCGACAATACCGTTTGAAACAAACTCACTGTTATTATTACTATTATATTTAATAATCTCAATTCATGCTTCGAATATTTTTGACTTTATATCGTAAATGTGGACAAATTCCTCCGATTAATTTTTGTTTTTAATTTTTAATTTTATTCATATTTTGAGTAAATCAGATGCAATATTGTCACAAGTGCTGAGAATTCCATTCTGCATTATAAGTAATGTTTTTGGAATAAAGTAGATTATTATTATTATTTAAGCAGCTCAGAGAAGACAACTAAATCAAAATCATCCAATTAAGCTACAGATTTTCTCTATTACTGATAAAAATTGTGGAATATCCGGGATGTTAACCACGGATGCAAATGGCTGAAACACTCTATGTTTCTTTCACGTGGTCGGCTTCAGGCTCATCAACGATGTATCTGATATGCCTAGGCTTTAAAATACAAAGCAGTTCGAACCGCCTGGATTTTCGCTAGTTACTTAGGCAAACTGGTAATACATAAAGTCAACTAATCAGACAAAATAATCCCTACAAAAAATCAATACTTGGAAATTAATCTGATGCTCCCCCAGCGACTGGCCCTATTCAGCCAGTTAGTAGTTAGTTACCTAGTGTTCTAGTGGGAATCCATAACCAGTAGGGTGCAGCAGGTTGAAGGTGAGGCCAGTTACTCATCGAAGAAGACATTAGGAAGTGGTCGCGCCATGTCATGAATTGGCAGAAGTTAGAATCCATGCGTTAGCCATTGGATCGGTTCTACGAGCTCGCCTCTTCAGCACAAGAAATCAGTACAGCGTCATTCAGAAATCAATGAAACCAAACATTCGTCCAGTGTTCAGATCAGTTTCACCCGATTAGCAGCTACAAACGCCTGACGTGAACGGTTTCCAACTATTTATATTAGTCGGTCAGTGGTAAATAGGATCATGCTGTTTCTCTCACTCTCAAGTTTGAATTTCAATTCTACTGCCATTACCTGTGCGTTTTTTTAATTTTATTTTATAATTTTTTTTATTATTTTTGATTACAACTTGATTCTACACCGTATTTTCGGTACAAGTATGGAATTCTCAGTATGCGATATCGGTAGCACAAATTTTGCAGGCCGACCATTGATATCAGGTGTCCGTCGGCAGGGGATCGAACCCCGGACAATGTGCATGGTCAGACGAGAGTCCTAACCACTGTGCCACCGAAGCACAAAAAAGCCGGTAGCACCCGGTATTCCCAGCAGGTCACCCATGCAAGACTATAGAAAAAAATCACTCCGACTCATTCTTACTACCTTAATTAAAAACCTCCAGCGACTGCAAGCAATCTCCTTATAAAGGCAGTAGAAGCATTTGGGATGTTATCAGATCTACCTTCTAAGACTATACTGATGATTTTAAATCTCCTCTTAGGTCACTTTAGCTAGACAAGGTATTTTTGACATCCACTAAGCTCCAGGTGACAAATTCAATGTCTTCTTATTTTTTGACGAGAAAACAATACACTGTCTTTAATAAAAAAGTGCTCTAATTCAATATTTACTAAAGTTCGTGGGCCTCAAGTTACTGAACTTTCCCCATTTCCCTCTCTTTCTCCTTCTTTCTATTTATCAATATTCGTCTAAAGCTAATCGCATCAAGATTGCTGATAAAGACCTTGGACAGACAGCGTTGACCAAGAAGTAATTCGGAAACTGCTTCAACACTACGGTGTGCAGTGTCCAAATCGTTATCAACCTCATTCAACAGCTGGTTATATATTGCAGTGCCACACGTCAGATGACCCACAATGGAAAATTTAGCCAGACGTTTGAAGTGAAGTGAGTAAGACAGGGCTACCTATCATCACCGGTGACATTCCTAAATGTAGTGGACTCGATTGTGAGTCAGACTGAGCACAGTAAGTGAGAAGACAGGCATAAGTTGGGCCAACGATAAGAAGACTCTAGCAGATCTGGATTTCGTGCGTGGATGCCTCATATTCATTGTCACAGAAATTCGAAGACCTACAGGCGAAAACCAACAAAACGGGCTGAAGAGGCAGGCAGCGAAGACAGGACTCCAGGTGAACATAGAGAAGACGGAAGTGGTGAAGATAATCACACCACTAACCAACAGCAACAACCAGGACTGACCACCATCAACAGGAGAGATTCAACAAAGGTTACTCCCTTCACTTATCTGTCCAGGAAGTATCGTTTCAACTATAGGCGGAATGGATGAGTATGTCAAAGGCATCCAGAAGCAGAGAGACAAGGAGGCAAGATATGCGTCCATCAATCTGAAATCAGTTTGGAAATCTTCTGCACTCCGCCTCAGCATACATAACAAGATTCAGGTTTTCAACACAAATGTTGAGGCGGTTAGTCACTTCTCCTGTGTGGATAAGAAACTTGACAGGTGCATCAACGGAAGCATTTCCAACAGGCTACAACAAGCTTTTATCCACGGCTGCCACTTTCGCTGCCTGGCTCCATAATGAAGATCAAATGGCCAGTCGGTCGGTGAGCAGTCCAGGAAGATTTAGCAACAAGAAACTCCACATTGGAACAAACCATCCAAAAGTCGATTGCTCAACAAATATGCAGAAGATAATGAAGATGAACTGGGCATAAACCACTGAGGAGGCCGTAGAATGTCATCGCTCGTAATTCAGGCCATCAGTAGAGTGGAATCCCAGTGGAAAGTGATGAGCGCGACCACCAACCAATGTCATCTGCGGGAAATCCATCCTCACTCCCAATTGGATAGATACCTCAGTGGCCACGACTTCTCACTAGAACTACAGGAAACTCCATCCTGCAGCAAATCACTCACTAGCGAGCATCAGATTAATTTTTAAGAGTTTGGTTTGTAAGGATCAGATTTGTTTTTCAAGTGAGTACTGCCGATGATTCCCAAACTAGGATGAAACAGCTGGCTATCCAGTATTCTCTAGTTTTCAGTGGTTCTCTAAGTGACATCAATCCATGGTCATACTCGTAAGATATTATTTAACCAATTGTGCTTACCTTTTTCGAGAAAGCTTTCTTTCTAACCCCAGGTCCAATAGGCTGTTGTTTCTTGATATTCGTTTGTCCTGGTGTTTCTGTTGTCTGTGGTCCATCACGTAGGTCATCGTCATCATATCCGTCAACGTCTGAGAAAGAATTCATTTTTTTTAATTGGTAGGTAAAATTAAGTAAATGTACACTACAATTGTTGAAGTGAAGACTGCAGTAAGACACGACTGCCTACTATCACCGATGATTTTCCTGACTATGGTGGAATAATTCATGCAACCGACCATGGAGACGGAGAGAGAGAGAGAAAACGGTCACACGTTAGATAAACATAATGACTCCATGTCTGGAATTAGCGGCTAATCTAATGTGTAATGCTGCGTTCTGCAGACGAAAACCGACAAGGTGACAGACAGGAACTCAGATGAAAGTGGAGAAGACAGAGGAGACGAAAATAAACAGGTCCTTGAGTGGAACGCAATTGGGAGGTGAAGAAATGAATATTAGTACAGCTGTAACATGGAGGAGATTATAAGAGGACACTTGTGGAGCTAACTAAACCACAGAGTGAAACGGCAATATACCATCGAAGACCCATGTTACCGTAGGAACACAAGAGAACAGTGGTATAATTAAACAACTGATTCTCATTAGCTGTTGGAAATTCGACATCTTAGTACTGCTTGTGAGTTGAGTCAGGTCTAGCTGGATACACAAACTGCCATTCTGTCTAAAATTTACTTAAAGAATAACGACATTTGGAGAACTTGAAAAGAATCAAAATAGAATACCACAGTTTTGTTTAACCATTAATTTCTCCAGGTTGACCAAACAATGACAAGTATATAGTAGGCTACACACTTTCTCACATATCTGAAGCTCGTCAGTTTCATTTTTCATTAAATTCTTGAGCCAAGTTAAACTTTAAGCATCACTAACTACCAATCAGCGAATGACTTCGAGTGTTCCAATGAGGTTCATACACGTGAGTTCAAGGTTGTATAGCACTTGATTCGTTTCAAACGAAGTTATGCTTGCAGTTAGATGAGGATAAGGTTTTGCAGTATTTCCTGGATTTGGGGTTGCTTACGAACGAGAGACATCGCCTCATAGAAAATGGAAAGAATTACATCGTTGTTAGGCGGAGAAGTTATAGTCGTACACGTGGACGAAACTGTGTTACTGAAGAAAAAATACAACCGTGGTCGTGAGCGAGCCAACAATGTTTGGGTGACCGGTTTATATGACACCTACCTACGGAAAGGATTCATGGAGAGAATACCAGACAGAAAGTCTACTACCTTAGTACCTGTTGTCACTCGACTTATGAAACAGGGATCCATTGTACATACTGATGAATGGAAAAGTCATAAGTCGCTGTCATCTCTTGGATATTTTCATCACAGAGTGAACAATTCTACAGGGGAACACACGAATTCTATAGAAAGATTTTTGGAAAGATTGAAAAATAGGATAAGGGCTATAAATGGATCTCAAAAGGATGTCATTTATAGTCATTTAGATGAATATATGTACAGAATGTAGTGCAACTTTTCTATTGACTCGCCTATGCTATACTGGGAGATGTTCCCACCACATGTTAAAGAAAGATACCCTATGCAACAGTTTTTATGCTTTTTTTCCATAAATATACGGTTTTCTTAATCAAAAGTCCCTTTTTCACGCGACTGGTCCTTTGAAGGTCGTTCACTGATTGGTAGTTAGTGGTGCTTAAAGTTTAACTTTGCCCATTCTTGCTAAGTATAACTCGTAATCACCTTTAGTCGTCCTGTCAGCTGACAGCGTTGAATAGTCAGTTGCTTTGGATACATTGCTCCTCAGTGCATATTAATGAGCAGAGTTGTGGTTCACTTGACATCCTACCACTGGGTCACAGATTCAAAATACTATCCGAGGTTAAGACAGCCAAGTGGTGTCATTAACATTCACACAATACATTTGTAAAAATTATATTTGTAAAATATCAGCAAAGTTGAAATTAGTAATTCCAACTTTTCGTTTGGCAAACTGGTCCACACTGCTTCAAGGAAATTAATCGAAATTAACACAACAGAGGTTTATACCCAAAAGAGTATCTTTCTTTTTTAAAGGCTTTGTCCATTCATATGAGTTCTGAAACAGTCATCACAATATGATAAACAAAATTGTATGAACTGGGATCAAAATTTGACCTCAAACTTTTAAAAATTAGTCTACTTTTGTTAACCACTTTAAACATTGTTAGCGTCTCCATAAGAAGATATAGACAGTCGGGAAATTATATCATGTATGATTAATATTTACATTATATTTTTATTTTTTTATAGCTTCATTCCACACAGTATTTTGGTACAAGTATGAAATTTTCAGCATGTGATATCGGTAGCCCAAATTTAGCAGGCCGACCATAGATACCAGGTGTGCTTCGGCGGGGGATCGAACCTCGTACCATGTACATGGTCGGCGAGAGTCCTAACCTCTGTACCACCGACGTACATATCCATTTTTTATTTATTTATTGATTAGTATTTGCCATGCATCAGCTAACACACATCACACCTTCACGTCTGTTCAAACTGTTGTGATTCACTTAAATATGTAGGGTTTCCACAGTTAGTCTTTCTTTATACGAACCAAAACCTTTCTGTAGAACCCTAGTCCTATCGAAGTCGATTTTGTGTCCCGTTTCTATCGAATGTAATGCAATCGCTCATCTGTTTTCTAGCTTCTTCAAGTCTGCAGAGGTTTTTGGAACCACCTGTAGGCACTGTTTATGCTCTTTCACCCTTACATTTACTTTTCTGGAGGTTTCTGATACATATACGGCATCACAGTCCACACAACTGATCTGGTACACACAATTCTGTTGGTTTTCTTCTTCTTCTATTTTATCCTTGACCTTCATCAGTCATGAGAGTAAGGTGTTAGTTGCACGAAAATACACTCTTCTGTCACACACACACAGTAGGTATGTTCACTGCCGACTGCATGAAAATCTAATATTGATTTTTGCTGAGTAACATCCGGAACACAGTAATTGGTCATTAGAACATTCCATGTTTGTGTCATCTTTACGAACACGTGAAAATGAAATTTCACTCATTGAACTTTTTAGCAATAATTATTATTATTATTTCCTTTAATTCCTAGAGGAACATAGGGCTTCAGCCGTGCGTCTCCATTGCGTTCGGTTCTCTGCTAGAGTCTTCACCTGGCTCCAAGTCTGTCCACACGCTTTCATTTCCTCTTCACATGACCTCCTCTAAGTCACCCTTGCACTGATGACTAACTCGAGCAATAGCTTGTCTAGTAATGTCACTTTATGGTTGGTTTCCTCAGTGTATGGCCAGCCAATCCATCTCCATTTCTTCCTGCCTATTTGTTTCATAATCGGTTCCTGGTTGGTTGGTGCGCTCATTGCCAGAGACCTCTGTTGCTGATCTTTTCTGGCCAGCCAGCCATCTGATCTTGAGTATTGAGCGAAGACAACTGTTAATGAAAGTCTGTAGTTTGTTTTTGCTTTTTATGACGCGCAGTGCAAGTCTATGATCCGTTTGTTAATTAGCACTGACTTCACATTGGAGTTGAAAATCTGGATCTTATTCGTTCATGCTGAGTGCTGTTGACTTCCACACAGACTTGAGAGTAGTGAAAGCTTGTCTTGCTTTTCCGATTCTTGCTTTGATATCCTCGTCAGTTCCGTCTGCCTGTAATTGAAACGATGCTTCCCAGGTAGGTAAAAGAGGTTGTTTCTTTCAGGTTCCTCCCACTTATGCTGAACGTTGTCTGTTGTTGTTAGTGGTGGTGGTGGTGTTGGCCAGAAAACTTCATCACCTCTGTTTTCTCTTTCTTCACCTGAAGTCCTATCTTCTCTGGATGCTTCTTCTGCCAACTTGTTGCTTTTCGCTTGCATATATTCCAGTTTGTTGGAAATCAGACATATATCATCGGCGAAGTCCAGATCCTTCAAGTTTTTTGTGTGATTCCATTTTATGCCTCTTCCTCATTGCCCGCTGTTTGTCGCATTATCCAGTCTACTGCAATCAAGAAAGTCTTTGGCGATAGTAGGCAGCCAGCCAGCTTGTCTTACTCCTGTCCTCACTTCGAAGGATTCCGTAAGTTTCCCGTTGTGGATTACTTGTCATGCAGCATTGTCGTACAGCTGTTGGATGAGATGTATAATTGTCGGTGGCACCCCGTAGTAGCGAAGTAGTTTCCAAATCACCTCTCGATTGACGCTGTCGAAGACCTTTTCAAAGTCGATGAAGTTGAGATAGAGAGGTGACTGCCAACTTTTAAGTAATAATAATTATAATGCTAATAATAATAGCCTTGGATAGAGGTATTAGAATACATAGTTTTGTGGAAATCTGGTTACGCATTTCCTCGTAGCACTTAGCATTAAGGGAGTTTATATAGACAGACAAATGGTGTTGCTATGGGTTCACCAGTTTCACCAATAGTCGCTGATTTTTTCATGAATAGATTCGAATACAAAGCATCTTTTCAAGCATAATCACTCCTAAAATATGGTTAAGATATGTAGATGATACTTTTGTAGTGCTAAAACGAGATCTACACAATTCACTGTCGGTGAAACTGAACAATCTATCTCCCCCAGCATTCAGTTTACTTCGGAAGCAGAATCAGACATCGGTGAACTACCATTTCTAGACTGCCTAGTTAAAAGGAGGGAAAATGGACATTTTAGTATGTCCATATTCAGGAAGAAAACCCACTTCAACAACAAATATAATTAGACTTCGGATCATCACACACCATCAACGCAAAAGTATCAGTTGTTTCAAGTCTTCTTAGACGAGCACACTCTTTGATGTTAACGAATGAGAAGGAAAAGAAAAGAAGAAATATCAAACATTACTGGGGTGTCAAGCGAAATAACTATCCAAAGAACATCAACAAAATCAACGTTGACATTAAATATGGTCGAAAACGCATTCCGAAGACATGGACCTCAACAGTCGTCATTCCACATACATCAGAAATGTCAGACAATAGCATAGCATCGGGGTTTTCTTCAAAACATCAGACACGCATACACTACAAAGCAACTGTGTCAATATAAAAGACCAAATCCCTAAAGATTCTCTATTTTATTGTATCTATAAAATAAAATGATTGGGATGGGATACGATATACAGGGGACAAAAATCAGCAGAGAGGAATCAAAACCCGAAGAAATGAACGCTGTAGAGCATATGTTTGACCACCGAGAAGTAAATCCAGTTGAACTAGACTATATTTGGTCTACACGCTACGCCATAGACAATATTGAAATCATCATCCAGAAAAAGCAGTTCAGAAATCACAAAGAACGTCTAATATCATCAGAAGCACTTCATATGATCAAATGGAATCCAAATTGTCTGAATAGGAATGATGGAGTAAAACAGAATTTGACCTGGTGACAACACCCTCCTACCCACTCCATGAAATGACAAAATCAACACGAATGTGGTAAGCAACTTTATTATGTAAACATACGCTGCTTTTATAATTTCACACACTGATCAAATTCAACAATAATTTACACCTGATTTTGTTATCTTTACCAATTGGCCAATTTGACAACAACGCAGAAATGACCCCATGTTGAGGAACGATGATTAAGTTGTTATATATAAGCTGAGTGGATTTTGTAAATTCTGGTTTAATATTACTACTTTGATAAAGCTATTAGCATGGAGGATTTCATAATGAGCTGACATCAGTTAGAGAATCACTGGAAAGCGTGGGAGTACTGCACAGCTGTTTCGTCCTAGTTTGGGACTCTTCATCAGTACTCACCCACCTGGGTTCGAACCCAGGACCTTCTGGTTACAAGGCGAGCTCGTAGACCGTTGAACGACTGGGACCCGATCCAATACAGCAGGTTGAAGATGAGGCAGTAACTCATCGAAGAAGACATTGCCAAATGGTCGCGCTATGTCGTGAATTGGCAGAAGTTAGAATTCAAGGACCATTGGATCGGGTCCCAGTGGCTCAATGGTATACGAGCTCTCTAGCCTTGTACCCGGAAGGTCCTGTGTTCGAATCCCGGTGGGTGAGTACTGATGAAGAGTCCCAAACTAGGACGAAACAGCTTTCCAGTACTCCCAGGTTTTCCAGTGGTTCTCTAACTGATGTCAGCTCATGATGAAATCCTCCATGCAATCAAACAAAATCCCTACAAAACCAATATTTGAAAGCTATTAGTAGCAGCAACTATATCGTTTTGTTTTCGCACTCATTAACTAGGAAATACAAAACCTCTTAGAATAAACCAACCAAAATAGGTAAAATGACACAACATTTAAGAATATGAAGGAGCATTATTAACATTGTTTTTTTGGTAATATCATCAAATAAGGATTACTAAGTGTTTCGTCTTTCTTAATTGGAATGAATGTATACGCCTATATTCATGAAACTTACCTTTCCAGTTTTTGTTATGTTGTGGAGGTGATTCCGATTGTCTTTGTCGACTACCAACCAAAGTTGGTCCTTTGTGATCAGCGCTAATATTGTAGAGAATGGAAAAAATTCAAAAGAATGGACACTGAACAAAGAGTACTCTTTTCCATAAATTCATCATCAGGTTCTACAATTATATATACATTATAATGAATGAATGAATTAGTCTTATGAACAACATTAATGTTCAAATAACATCGAATTAATAATATTGATAGATTACAGCTGAACAGCATCAACATAAAATAAGCTGAATGTCAGAAGAATTAGGAAAGATACTAGCACAAATTCATGAGTTTATAGTTTCTACTGAGGGCCAGGGCAGTAGTAGTGGTTGGCTGGACTTGTTTCTTTTGAACACACAGCACTGGTTGTTTGAGGCGAATTGCAATAGCCTCTGCTGTTTGGAGCATGGGGTGCTTCGACGATTTTGGTATTTTGTTAGGCACCAGGTATATTATGGGGAAGGATTCTTCTAAGCTGGCTTTGTGACCGGTTTGCACCAGATGGTCTAATATCGAGCTGTTAATAGTTTCAGCTACACCTTTACTTAGCCATAGTGGGATATGTTCTCCAGCACGAAAAATCAAGTTCCTAGAGCAACGGCCAATATGACTCGCTCCACAAGCGCAGTTGAATTAGTAGATACAATTTGAAGTGGCTAGTCTAGGTACTTCATCTTTCAGTCAAGGTAGCACCATCGGTCGTGTAGAGAATAATACGTGTAGTTCGCCGGCATTTAAAGTCATTTGAACTGATTTTCTGTATTTCCGGGTAATTATCTCGCTTGGTAAATCGCCCATGAATTGTAATCGTATATATAAAGGCTTCTTGTTTACAGACAGTGAGTAGTCTTTTTGCGCTTTCTTTTTCATGTCTTTCTTGATAAATCTGTCAGGATAATCATTTTCGATCAAAGTATCATATACAATGCTTAATTCATCTTCTTCTGAGCATATAGCTCTAACTCTGTGGCTGAGGGTCTTCACTAAATTTCTTTTGTAATTGATAGGAACGAAGCTGTGAAAGTGTGTGTATTGTCCTGTCCAAGTGCTTTTTCTATGCAAATTTCTTTTCAATATGTATATATATATATATACATGACTGAATTAACAGTCCCCATTGTGACATGAAAATAAAGAATTCAACGAAGAAATTTCTCCTTTCGACGATTTCATTTTCATAGTTGCACAATCGTATGTGCATGAATTACAAGAGACAATGACAATCAGTTTTCTTGTGTGTGTGTGTGTGTGTATGTGCGTGCGTTAAAGTTTGACATTGAGTGAAAATACTTAAGTGCTATAATAATAATATCGATGTATACGATTATGAGTCACAATTCATTAGATATTTGGAAGAATAACTGAATAAATAGAGGTCAACCTAAAGTTCAATAGACGAAATGTGTGAAATAGATGATCGGCAAATAAAGTACATTCGGAAATGTGAATATGTGAATGTAATATGGTGGAGACGACATAGGCTGAGCGAAATGTTGTCAAAGTAGTAGACTTGCAATTAATAGTAGTAGTAGACTAGATAAAATGTTAGTATATGATGTGATGGAGTGAAATAAAATAAGTTAGAGAACCATTGGAAAACCTGCAGAGAGTACTGGACAGATGTTTCACCAGCCTAGTTTGGCACTCCTCAGTGGTATTCACCCACCACCAAGGTTCGAACCTTGTGCCTTCTAGCTACAAGGCGAGCTTGTATGCCATTCAATCACTGAAGACACACTTGATGAGGAAGAAAGAAGGCTGACACAAACTCTGGTTGATAACAATTATCCAGACAGGTTCATCAGAAGACATTAAGTAGTCAGAACACCAAGACCCATTCCCCAGCTCGCTCCTAAGAAAGACGTGTACATCAAGCTACCCTATATGGGGCATCAGAGCAGCTTGATAACTAGACAAAAACTGAACGCTGCCGTTAAAAAGAATTTTTATGAAGTTAATATCACAATAACTGAGAATGTGAAGCCAATATATCCATGTAAGCCCTTAGAACATGTGAAAAATGATGTCACATCCCACTGTGTTTACCAATTTGAATGTACGTGTGGACACACATACATAGGGAGGACTCATTGATCTCTGCAAGTAAGGGCTGGCTTCACAGAATATTCCTAAATGGCTCCAGAAACAAATAGAATCTTTAGAACTCATTAGCGTTGAGAACAGACAATGACCTAGCTCCTCTATTGAGAAACATTTTATGGAGACAGGACATAAAATTGACGTTAACACATCTTTTAAACCTATCTATAAAATATGTGTTTTGGGCGTATCCCAAAGTTTATGGAAGCCCTGGCTGGCAATTAGAAAGTTTAAACCACCTTTATGCGTTCAAAAACAATTCATCATCACACTAAACCACCTTCCTTGCTAAACTTCGTTTTGATACCAGCCAGGGAATATAAAATATTATCTCCCTTTTTTGGTTTAGTGATCTTCATTGTTATTTTGACCTTGAATATGTTCTTTTAACTTGACCCAAGTCTATTTTCTCACCTCTTACCTCTTTATATTCCTATGACAAGTCCGTGTATGATCAGATTGTTCGAAATGTGTTGCGCAAATACATTACACGATTCAGACAAATTACGTCTTCTTATTGCTTTATCTAAATTCATAAAGGGAACTGATTGTTTTAATAACAGTCATCATTCCATATAGAACAGAGACGTCAGATGATATCAGAAGAGTACTCAATCAGCTCGATATTAGAGTTTTCTTCAATACATCAGACACACTTCAAAGCAACCTTTTCCATATAAAAGACCAAATCCCTAAAGATTCTCTATCTAATTGTGTCTATAAAATAAAATGCTTGGAATTTGATGAGATATACATCGGACAAACATCTCGAGAAATCAAAATCAGAAGAAATGAACACCGTAGAGCATCTCTTCGACCACCGAGAAATCCCGTTGGACCACAAAAACTTGAAAAATCATTAGCCATAGGTCTACATGCTATGGAATCAGGCCACAAAATTGATTTTGACAATATTGAAATCATCATCCAGAAAAAGCATTTCAGAAATCACAAACAACGTCTAATATCATCAGAAGCACTTCATATCAAGTGGAATCCAAATTTTCTGAATAGGAATGATGGACTAAAACAGAATCTGACCTGGTTACAACACCTCCCTCCCCCACCAAGTAACAAAATCAACACGAATGTGATAAGCAACTTCACTATGTAAACACACACTACTTTTATAATTCTACACACAGATCAAATCCAACAATCCACACTTGATTTTGTTATCTTTACCAATTGACCTACTTGACTTATATATGTCCAAACCAAGTTCACTTTTAACGGTTTGAAAAAATTTGGGCATTGGGTATATGATATTCATTATAATAAAGGTTTTTGTATTTCCCAATGAATGAAAAACAAAACGATTTTGTTTTTACTGACGTTTCGCTATTTAATGCCAATAGCTTTATCAAAATATTATTAAACCGGAATTTACAAAATCTCAGCATATATATAACAAACAGTCCCTTTAAATTGACCTATGTCTATTTTCTCATCCCTAACTGTTTGTTATATATGTGCTGAGATTTTGTAAATTCCGGTTTAATAATACTTTGATAAAGCTATTAGCATTAAATAGCGAAACGTCAGTAAAAACAAAATCGTTTTGTTTTTCATTCATTGGGAAATACAAAAACCTTTATTATAATGAATATCATATACCCAATGCCCAAATTTTTTCAAACCGTTAAAAGTGAACTTGGTTTGGACATATATAATTGTTTTAAATTCAATAAATAAATCAGGTCAAACCTTAAAATTTGTGTGGACCCCATGCTGAGGAACGATGGTTAATTTGTTATATATAAGCTGATATTTTGTAAACTCTGCTTTAATATCACTAATTTGATAAAGCTTTAGCAGAATTGATAAGCGAAGAGTCAGTAAAAACAACGAAATCGTTTTGTTTTTCATTCATTGGAGAATACAAAATCCTTCATTATAAGGATTACGGTACTTCCTTATTTTCGTGTATTCCAGTTACCTACTGTTAAGATCATGGAGGTAAAATTGTACGCTTATAAAAAACGGTTTCTTAAGTGCTGATTTCTGGAGATTCAATTGGTTATGGGTTAGAACACAAAATGGCAGATCATCACTTAGAAAATTCAGGTACTGCTGAATAAGTGTTTTGCCTCGGTTTGGGACTCTTCAGTAGTATGCACCAATGAGCACTTTGGAAATAGAACCCAAAGCTTCCAGTTTATAAGCCTTAGCTCATTAACTGTTAATCCTCTGAGACACGAACCGGTTCAGCTCTTCAGCAGTACACATCCTGAAGATCCTGAGTTTAATCTCTGGTGAATTCTTGGGTGCATAATGTTGAAGAGGCCTGAATAAGTGTGAGGCGGTTGTCTAGTGTTCCTTGTGTTGTGAGAGCTGTCTGCAAGCTAAAATTGTAAACAACAATTTATGTCAATGTTTACGTCGCAAATCGGGGTCATGAGAAAAAACAAAATACGAAGCTTAACCTTGAGGAACTCAACAACCAATCACAGCAGACTTGGTGCACGAAAATACGATTCGCAGATATATGGCTTAATTTTCTAAGAAACGGTCACAAGCAGTCAGTACAGAATAACCTTCAGCAAGAAAACAACCACCAGAAGACGTTGCTATTCTGCTAACAATAACGCTGATAAATAATGTACATAAAAATCTATTAATATATGTCTTGATTTTCTCAACAAACCATCTGTTGCCTGACCCTTGTCTTCTGTCGTTACACTTGATTTGAAATAACTCGCTAAATATTATCGTCTACAGAAGAAATCTATACTGACATCAAGTAGCTATGGCATAACAAATTGAACAAATAGGAATAACCGAAAGCATTTCATTCCAGTAGTAAATTTAAGACAAGCAACAACTACCTCAACTTTAAAGACTTTGAGAAGGCATTCGACAGCGTTGACCACGAAGTAATCTGGAAACTACTCAAGTACTACGGCTTACCCCAAATATTCATCAACCTTATTCAGCAGCTGTACGACAACGACACATGCGAAGTGATCCACAACGGAAAACTCAGCGAGGCGTTTGCAGTAAACACAGGAGTCAGACAAGGGTGCTTATTATCACCAATGATATTCCTAATTGTGGTGTACTGGATTATGCGTCGTCAGTCAGTGGGAAACGAGAAGACAGGGATATCCTGGACCGATGTGAAGAGCCTAGAAGACCTGGATTTCGCGCGTGGATGATTTATGTTTGATGTCACACAAAATCGAAGACTTACAAGTGAAAACCGACAACCTGGTCGAAGAAGCAGCAAAGACAGGACTCCAGGTGAACATAGACAAGACGTAGGTTATGAAAATAACCAAACAACCAACAACAACAACAGCAGCAGCAAAATCCAGCGCCAATCACCATCAACGGGAGGGATTTGAAAGAGGTTACTTCATTCATTCACTTATCTAGGGAGCATTGTCTCAACTACAGGCGGATGGCATGGACGAGGATGTCAAATCGAGAATCAGGAAGGCGAGAAACACATTCATCAACCTGAAACCAATCTGGAAATCTTCCGCTGTCACTCAGCCTGCATCAACAACAAAATTCGGATTTTCAATACAAACGTCAAGTCAGTCAGTTCTTCTATACGGATCAGAAACTTGACGGCGGGTCACAAAGAATATTTCCAACAACCTGTTGCACACCTTTATCAACAACTGTCTTCGCTGGCTCTATACTCAAGATCAGATGGCCGGAAAGAATCACTAACAAGAAACTATGGGAACAAACAAAACAAGAACCAATCGCCAAACAAATATGCAGGAGAAAGAAGTGGAGATGGATTGGACACTCGCTGAGGAGGCCGCTGGGTGACATCGCGCGTCAGACCAGTGCTCGAGTGGAACCCGAGAGGGAAGCGGCGAGTGTGACGTCGAAGGGTGACATGGAGGAGATCGTGTGAAGAGGAGTTGAAACAGTATGGACTAACATGGATGCAGGTGAAAAGTACAGCAGAAGACAGAAGCAAGTGGAGACGTGCAGTTGAAGCCGTATGTTCCACTAGGAACCCAAGGGAACAATAATAATAATAATAATAATGCTCATCCTCTTAGTAATGTCACGTAAATCCTTTTTATTTCTGTGTAATTCTATTTACTGCTACTCTTTTCATGGTTCTGTCTGCCTCTCTCTGTATCTCCCTCTCCGCTTGTCTGAACGTAAATACCCATGACATCCTCATAAAAGAGAAAAATGGAAGTTATAAGTTTCATTGTAACTTACTCGCTAGATAATAAAAGTCCACGATTTCCACCACGTTCTAAGGTTGTGTCAGCTGATCCGAAACCACCGACAGGTGCTAAGGAAAAATAAAAGGGATAGACAAAATATTTATTTTTTTTAATTACAGTTTATAACAATCTTTAGTGAGCAAACAATATTTAAATTCAGAAGAAATGACTATTATTATTATTCCATTGAGCTCCCAGTGGAACATGGGGATCCAACAACACATCTCCACTTTCTTTTATTTTCTGTTGTTCTCTTTAGCTGGGCCCACGATTACGCATGATCTCTCATCTCCTCCCCCGACTGATACGATCTCCTCCATGTCACCCTTACACTGATGATGCACTCATCGCTTCCCACTGTCATTCCATTTGAGCGATGGCCTACATTGCGCACGATGTCAGTCGACGGCCTCCTGAGTGGTGTATGCCTAATCCACCTACATTTTCTCCTACAAATGTTTTCAACAATTGACTCTTGGTTGGTTGGGAATGCTTCCCTTGATGAGCCTGCCAAGTTTCTGATCCATTCAGAAAAAGTAACTGACTTCACATTTGTGTTCTCGTTCTTTATGCTGAGGCGGAGTGCAGAAGATTTCCAAACTGGTTTCAGGTTGACGGAGGCGTATCTCGCTCTTCCGACTCTGGCTGCCTTTGAAATCTTCATCCATTCCTTCTCTGGCTGAAACAATACTTCCTAGATAAGTGAAGTGAGCCACCTGTTTCAAGTTTCTCCCATTGATTGTGATCGGTGTTTGTTATTGCTGTTGGTTGGTTTGTTGGTTATCTTCATCGCCTCCATCTTCTCTACTTTAACCTGGAGTCCAGTCTTCTCTGCTTCTTCAGATATTTTGTTTGTTTTTGCCTGTAAGTCTTTGACTTTGTATGACATCCACACGCGAAATCCAGATCTTCTAGAGTCTTCTTATCGGTCTAGCTCATTCCTGTCTTCTCACTCCCCACGTATGGTGTGTCTTATAATCCAGTCCAATACGATTAAGAATATCATCGGTGATAGTAGGTAGGCAGCTTTGTCTTACTCCTTTGTTCACTTCAAATGCCTCTTTTAGTTTTCCGTTGTGCGTCACCTGACACGCAGCGTAGTCATATACCCAGCTGTTGAATGAGGCACTGAACGCCGTAGTGTTTGCAACAGTTTCCAAACTACTTCTTAGGAAGAAATGACTATGGTCCTCATTTATTTTCGCTTATCCTTCCGACTAAGTTGAAACAACTCGAAGGAGATAAAAGTAAAGTTTGAAATTCAAGGAAAATGTATGCATGTAACCATGAATTTCTGGTTCTGTCACAGATTCATTAACTCTTGGAAACAACTGTAAGAAAATGTGTTATATATTTGCTGTCAACCGACTCGTTCAGTAGACGGTGGCACAGTGGTTAGGACTCTCGCCGACCTTGCACATGGTCCGGGGTTCGATCCCCTGCCGACGCACACCCGATATCTATGGTCGGCCTGCAAAATTTGGGCTACCGATATCCATGCTGAAAATTCCATACTTGTACTGAAAATACGGTGTGGCATCAAGCTGTAATCAAAATAAAATAAAATAAAAATAGGAAAGAATATTTCTTAATACAAAAAGATCAGCATAGACCCCTCTTTGTTCCAATCATAAGCCTGAGATAGCCTTAAGGTTGATCACTGATAATGATGTAATACGGGAGGATTGAATGCAAAATTAAAAGGTGGGTAGCGGTAGTTTTTCGAGTGATATCACACACACACGCCAGTCTGTCTAGTGGAATCCTAATGGAAACCGACTAGTCGGGCGTCTGAGGCTGAAGTATGAAGGGGAGAAGAAAACTTCTAGGCAGAAAGATAGGAGAGAAGAGGACACAACAAAAATTGACAACACTTCAATCATCTTGATGCATTTGAAATATGACATAATGACATAATTTGAGGAGACAACGTTCAGCAAAGAGACTCTTTTCAACAATGAATTTATTATCTAGCCATACAATTGTATATAAATATTGTTTTTAAGAAACTATATCCGGAGAGGGAATTGGATCAAAGGTGTGAATGCATGAAATAATAATAGTAGTAGTAGTATAAAATGCAATTAAAATATACGTGATTATAATCATTGTTAAATGTGTGTTATATACACCTAGTTTTTGCCTGATTTTACCTAAATCCTTAAAATAACTATTTTATGTAGTTATCGCGTATTGGCGGTAGCCCTTTGTTTTTCCCTCTGTTGGGACTGCTGGATTCCTGGTGGCTGTAAATACTTTTAATGCATCAGTGAATTACTGCATTTTCATGGTCATTCTAACTGCATATACGTACAGAGTTATTGTCTAGCGTTTTGATCGATGTTTGAGGCAAAATAATCTCTCTTTTTTGAGTTCGACGACGGATTAATATGAGTTAGAGCCTCTAGCTTGAAGCCCTATGTACCACTGGGAACGTGAAGATATAAAATCTAAAAAAATAGAAAGAGGACCAATGGAAGACCTGTTTCATCCTAGTTCGGGAATCATTGGCAGTACACACCCACCACCGGGGTTTCGGAGCCAGGACTTCTCTAACTGATATCCGTCCGTGGTCACACATGAAAAACAAATGAAATCCTTACAAATCAACTCTTGAAAATTAATCTGATGCTCGATAGTGAGTGACTTGCTAAAGGATGTAGTCTTCTGGAGTTCTAGTGAGAAGTTGTGATCAGTGAGGGCCATCCAGTCAAGTGTTTGAGGACGGATTTCCTGCCTATGATATTGGTTGGTGGTCGTGCTAAATCACGAATTGGTAGAAGCTAAAATTCATTAACTAACCATTGAACCGTGTCCCAGTGGCAGAATCGTATACGAGCTCACCTTGTAAATGGAAGGTTGTGGGTTCGAACCCCCAGTGATGGGCGCTTACCACTGATGAATCCCAAACTAGGCTGGCGAAACAGCTACCAGTGCTCCAGTGCTGGTTTTCATTGGTTCTACGTGGTCAAACTCAATAAACAAATCAAATCCTTACAAGACAACTCTTGGAAAAGCTCTCTTGTCCAGGTCCAATCTTATCTTTTGTCTTTGCTTAATGGCGATATTACTGTTGTTGTTTCTGTGCGATTAGGACAGATTAGGCGGAGCATTAAGTTAGTAGTCGGTCATAGTCTACTAGGTCGTGTCAATTAGCAAAACAATCGTTGTAATATGTAGAATAATTCATAAGGTGTATAGAAGTTGGAAAGGAGTATATAATTGTAGGATTAGTAGGCTAATATAAAACGTCGCACAACATGGTGTGAAATTCCATAAGATATAATTCAACATTGTAAAAAATAACTTTTTGGAATTAGAATAACAAGTGAGACAAATGGAAACAATTCAAAGTGGGGGAAAGGTGCACAGATTAACTAAATAAACAAAATAAATAAATAAATGTCTACCCCTCTAGGGCCAATGCTCACAAAGGTCTGGCTTAAGCTGAAGAATGGCTAAAGCCTCCGCTACCTATGGAAGTTTAAAACGAAGATGAAACGTGGCACGTTAACATGAATTCGACGGACGATGATCTTAAAATTATGATCAGGGTTGTTAGAGTGACAGGAGTTGGCCAAGTGTTCTAGCATAAGGCTTTGCACATCCTTCCTTCCTCCCTTGTAAAACCAAAGTGGAATATTTTCTGATATTCGTGTGGAAAGCATTCGCTGGCTACGGCTAATATACCTTGCTCCAAAAGAGGATCAGGTGAACTGATAGATGCACATGGAAGCGGTCAGAAAGGGGAGCTTATCTTTTGCAGCGACACACTGATATTTCCAGATGTACTTAATTTTCCTACCATCTATTGATGCATGCCTGTTGAACCTGTTAATATTCTGGTTGACAGGCACATGGACTCATGTGAAAAATGGGCCAAATCCATTTTATCTAACTCACACCACCCTCTTCACTCAAAACTCTCCCCTTGCATCTCATCAGGCAAAACCAGAAGCCTATATAGATAACTATATGCTCGCACTAGCAAGTACAAAACTCAACCATACCCTACTTAGTTCGTGTTCTGTGCGATAAAGAAAGCATTAGGCGTGACACCTATAATTCATTAGATAGTCAGTAGAACAACTGGATCTCGTCTTTCCAGCTCATATCATTTATAGGTACAGCATTTTCTTTCTTTCTTTTCTTTTTCTCTCTCTCTCTTTTCCCGTTATGTGTTGCTTCGTTTCTTTCTCTCGCTAACATCAGTAAATATGACAGCTCCTACTTTTCCAGCACCTTCAAACACTGTTCAGCTTTGGCTTTGCTACCGACATGCCAATATGTTGTTGTCATAATGAACTGAGATTTTTTTAATCTATTTAGAATTTTATTTATTGATAATGTACAAACTGGATGCAATGTTGTAGTAAAAATCCTGAGAATTCCATTGTGTATCACAAGTACTGTTTTGGAATAAAGCAAATTATTATTATTATTATTAACTTTATGTTGACTTCTTTACATATTCATTGATATGTCTAATCAGTTTGTGATTCATAATCTCATCTACCCATCAATATTATAGCACTTTAGTAACTTTTAACCACTGGATTATGCGTCAGACAGTTGGGGGCAAGGAAACAGGAATGCGCTGGACTACAGATGAGAAGACTCTAGAAGATCTGGATTTCTCAGATGACTTATGTGTAGTGTCACACAAACTCGAAGACTTGCAGGCACGCGAAAACCAACAAACTGGTAGAGAAGCAGGCAGAGAAGACAGGACTGCAGGTGAACATAGAGAAGACGGAGGTGATGAAGAAAACCACCCATCACCAAGTGTAACAACAACCAGCACCATCAACGGGAGAGGTTTCAAAGAGGTTACTTCCTTCACTTATCCGGCTAGGGGGCATCGTTTCAACTGCAGGTGGAACGGACGAAGATGTTAAAGCAAGCCAGAATTGGAAAGGCAAAATACGCCTTCATTCATGTAAAACCAGTTTGGAAATCTTCCGCACTTAGCATGAGGAACAAGATTCGCATTTTCAACACCAATGTAAAGTCGGTTCCTCCATACGGTCACAGACTTGCACTACGTGTCACGAAACGGATTCCCAACAGGTTGCAGACTTTCATCAACAGCTTCCACCTTCGCTGGCTGGCTGCATACTGGAGATCAAATGGCCAGTCGGGGATAATTAGCAACAAGAGACTCTGTAGTGGAATAAACCAACCAAGAGCCGATCGTCCAACAAATATGAAGGAGAAGGTGGAGATGGATCGGGCATACATGGAGAAGGCCGCCGAATGACATCGCATGCCAGGTCATCGAGTGGAATCCCAATGGGAAGTGACGAGTGGGTCGTTGGTGCGAGGGTGACATGGAGGAGATCGTGTGAGGAAGAGATGAGAGTGTTTGGTCAATTGTGGATCCAGTTGAAGAGGACGGTAGAAAACAGAATAAAGTGGAGATGTGTTGTTGAAGCCGTATGTTCCACTCGGAACGCAGGGGAATAATAATAATAAAAATAACTTTCACCTCCTGTCACAGAACAAAACTACTTCTTATTGTCTATTATGATTCAGATATCGAAATACAGTTACGAAAATGAAATCATCGATAAAGAAATTTTCTCTACCGTTATGGACCTGTCACCAGTTTTTTATGATCTCGTTTACAGCTGATATAGCGAGTGGATAATGGTAGGGTTATAATAATACTGATGCAATGAACAACTCAACTGACATGCTAGATACACCTATACGTCAGTGGTAACTTCAGCTTCACTGAGCCACGAAAATACCAAAAGACAAAGACTGGCCTGCGACTGTTTGGATACCACCTTATTAAAAGAGAAACACGTTCTATTTATATATTTCTTATCACATTAAAATAGCCCAGGGCAGTGGAAATCGATTGTTCTGACTGATTAGTAATTTGGCTAAGGTAAGTGAAAAATAAATATTCTGACTGGTCGGCGATCTGACCAAGACCAAGGTGAGAAAAAGATGAAATTATACTGCTATCCAATCACACGATGAATCACAAAATGATTACTATTTTAATTTTCTATACTTGGTTTGAAGGAATAGTTTTGCTTTTACGAGTTGATCACGGATCGATGTCACTTAGAGAACCACTGGAAACCAGCACTGGAGTACTGGACAGCTGTTTCAAGCTAGTTTGTGAATCACCGCCAGTAGGCACTCACCATCAGGCTACTAACTGAGGACTTTCCGGTTATAAGGCGAGTTCGCATACCGTTCAGCCACTGGGACATGATTCAGTGGCCAGACCATGAATTCTAACTTATACTAATTCGTGATTTAGCGCGACCACCAACCAATATCATTGGCGGGAAATCCATCCTCACTCCCGACTGGATGGACCTCCTGGTCACGACTTCTTACTAGAACTCCAGGAAACTCAGTCCTGTAGCAAGTCACTCACTATTGAGCATCAGATTAGTTTTCAAGAGTTGATTTGTAAGGATTAGATTTGTTTTTTCGAGTCTGACCATGGACTGAAATCAGTTAGAGAACCACTGGAAACCACCAGACTAATTCAGCGAATAAAGTTTTCTTTATTGACGAAATCATCTTCAAAGGCAGTAAAATCGCATTTATAATTACAAAAATACATAGTGGTCTATTAATGAGTAATAGGGTGTGACATAATTGATAAAATTACTCAGAAGGGGCTAACTAATTTCACTTTTAGTTAGCTTTTGCTTTAATAATTAATTCACTATTATCACTCTCATATGCTCCTTTTGTATATTTTCACACCCTCTTCACACTTGTTAAATTGACACTCAAATACCTTTATTCTCACTTAATAGCAATTTTAACCTTATCAGATTTCTATCTTTTTTGCCGTTGAGTACCACGTAATTTTCAACTTTTAATTTTCACTTCTAAAGCCACTTCTGAGTAATTATATCAATTATGTCACCCCCTATTACTCAATAATAGACCACTATATATTTTTTGTAAGTATAAATACGATTGTACAGCCTCTGAAGAAAATTATTAATTTAATTGAAAATAAATAATAAATAAATTATACTCACCTATTTTATTTACAGGATTTTGAATTTCATTAGCGAAATGTACAACATTAGTACTGACTGATAAGATAATATTATTGATTACTTCAAGTTTTGATGGACTAGGTATAAAACCGATTGGACTGCCTATCCGTACAACACGACCAATCCACCAGTCTTGATTGAAACGCTTTTTAATATGTAAGAAATCTTTAACACCAAAACTGACTACACGAGTTGGAGATGGTGCATCCAATCCGTATAATGCACCATCAAAACTGATATTGGTTCTGACTGAAAATGCTACAGGTTTAGACTAAAACAAAGTGAAAATAAAAGGAAAGATTATGACAGATTTTCTCAAGGGTAGATATCAAAAACAAAATCTCCCCGGGAAATAAATCAAATTGAGACAATGCAAACACTTGGAGTGTGAGACATAACATTAAGATAGAAGTCAATTGGTGGATGGTGACAAGCAGTGGAATCCAGTATGCGCATTTCGTCCTATTTGGGACTCACGATAGCTGGATGTGCCTGCATTCCGCAGTGAATTATGATGTTCCCACCAAGGCTCGAACCCAGTTCCCATAGTTTCAAACGCCATAGCGTTATCCACTAGACCACTTGGGTCACTAAAGCCACCTCTTGTGCAACGGGTCATATTAATTATTTAATTGAATTTTAGATTTTCTCGTCGATTGATTGGACCGAAGTGCTCGGTCTCAGATTGACATGGCTGTCAGCTTCTTGTGCAGATGCTTCGACGATGTCTGGGCATGTGATTAGAAATTAATTGGTGGATGGTGACTAGCAGTGGCCCAAATGGTCTAGTGGATAACGCTTTGGCGTTTGAAAACTATGGGCACTGGGTTCGAGCCTCGGTGGGAACATCATCACTTACTGCGGAATGCAGGCACATCTAGCTGACGAGTCCCAAATAGGACGAAATGTGCATCCTAGATTCCACTGCTAGTCACCATCCACCAGTTAACTTCTAATCACATGCCCAGACATCGTCGAAACATCTGCACAAGAAGCCGATAGCCATGTCAATCTGAGACCGAGCACTTCGGTCCAATCAGTCGACGGGAAAATCTAAAATTGATTTCAATAACGTTAAGATAGCCTACATTGGATGAACAAAGCATCAGCTTTTATGCTTGGGTACCTCCAAATTCAAAACAGAACCTAACTATCTTGGAAAGTCACAGAATGCACAATCAAAGAGGATGGATAGAGTACTCTGAAAGGTTTCTGGACGGAAATGTCACTCCTTGAAATGTACATCACTATCACCAAACACACCTTCTGTCTCCTGAAACTTCACTGTATGAATCTGTGATTCTGTGGACACCCATTGACAGAAATGCTAACTAATAAATGGTTTGTCCCATTAATTGAGGAAAACCTTCTAAGCAGCTAAACTCTGACTCTTCATCTCTAGAAATCAAATGGCTCGAAGAATGTGAAGCATAAGTTACTGCTGGTAGTCTCGTGAATGTACAATTATCAATTCACCTACCCCTCTGTGCAGAACCGCCTTAACCAGAGTTTGATATCTGAATATGTTAACAAACATTTAGGCGAAGTTCAGCAATAGCGTCCCAGGAGTGCGAACGCCCCAATGACCTTGAACGCATGCTAGTCGTTGGCTTACGGCACCTGTCATTACCAAAGCTGAAATATCAGTGATATTCACCAACTAGGGAGCAAATTTCACCCAGATCAAGTTTTTAAGTACTGTTTGGACAATGTGTTAATAACTCGTTAGGGTTAGGATTAGGGTTAGGGTAAGTATTGGGGTTAGGGATAGGATCAGGGCCGTAATTAGCATTAGAGTTAGGTTTACGGTTAGGAAAAGGGTTGTAATTAGGGTTACGATTAGGGATTGATTCAGAGCTGATGTCGTTTATTCGAATTTGTTCTATTATCCCACGTTTTCCTCTTACTTGAAACCATAGTAATTCTACCGAAGGCTTTTGGAGAAGACCAGTTTTATTACTGGCTTAGTGGTAAAGGAGCGCGTTGGTGGCCGGGGGTCGAACCACGGACCCTACGAGGCGTGACTGGCCAGCATTCTACCGCCGTGCCACCGACGCAACGATGCACTGATTAGTCATTCATATTAGTGAGTTCAGCTCACTGGGTAAGTTCTCAACCTTATGAACTTTAACCTTCTTCTTTGGTCTTTCTTGCTCCATCAAAATTTATTAAAGGAATCAAGCATAGGAAGTGATTATGAGTGGAGTGTATGTAATGAACAATACTAGAAAATCAATAAATGAATAATCATCGTCATCAATGATATTAGCAATGCTGAAATAACTTACAACAGCTAATTCAAGTTCTTTTAAAGCTAAACGTTCTAATTCTAATCTTTCAGCTTCTAAAATGACTTCACTGTCAACTGAACTGCCACTTTCACTTGAACGTCTAGAACTCTGGAAAATGAAATAAAGAGTGAAATTAATTTTTTATTAAATAAAATTTAATGACAGAAAGATAACTTCTTCTTAAGTCATAAATTTTTACAAAAGTTGAACTTTTTCACGAAAGTAGCATTTATATGTATTATAGGGGGTGATTGTGAACAAGGAGATTGTGGTTCGTTACACGAATTCATCACGGGTTGACATCGGTTAGAGAACTAGTAGGAAACCAACAGGGGGTTGTTTCGTCCCACTCTGGGACTCTTCAGAAGTACACATCCACCGCCAGAGTTCGTATCCAAGGCCTTCCAGCTACAAGGCGGGCTCGTAGACCATTCTCAGGTATTGAAACCCGATCCAATGGTTAGCCCATAAATTCCAAATTCTTCCAATTAACAACATAGAGTGAGCACCAGCTAATGTCATCCGAGACGAGTATCTGTCACTACACTGAAGCTAAGTTCTAGTGAGAGGTCATGATGACCAGTGAGGTATGGCAGGCCGAGTTTGAGGACAAATATTCGCCTCTGATGACACTAGATAGTGCCACTCACGCTATATCGTGAATTGGCAGAAGTCGGAATTCATGGGCTAAACATTGAATCGGGTCCCACTGGTTTACTGGTCCACCAGCCCGTGCTGTAGCTGGAAGGCCCTGGGTTCGTGGGAGCGTGCTGATCAATATTCGTGGAGAACATCCACCAGGACATTAGAAAGAAGAGAACACGAAGTTTAGCAAAGATATCGTTTCAGCGATTTCATTTTCAAAAGCTGTACAATCGCATTTAAATACATAATTTTACATAGATACAAATTTTACTTGATTCCACATAATTACGAAGGCGAATAAAAAGTGACAATTATTTTCAACTATATATGATTTACGAGAGGCTTAGAAACAAAACTACACAGGATTAGAACGAATATCAAGTGTGTAAAAATGAGCATGGAAACAAAATTGAAATAATAATTTTCAACTTGAAATGGAAGTTAGGAGGTGCGAATATAGATTACAAGAGTCTTAGAAACAAAATAATTGTCACCTTTCATTCACCATCGTAATTATGTGGAATCAAGTAAAAATTGTATCTATGTAAAATTATGTATTTAAATGCGATTGTAAAGCTTTTGAAAATGAAATCGCTGAAAAGATATCTTTGCTGAACTTCATGTTCTCTTTTTTCTGATGAATATTGCCGAACTAGGTTGATGAAACAGCTGTCCAGTACTCTATGGGTGTTTTCCAATGGTACTCTAACTGATGTCAGCTCATGATGAAATCCTGTAACCAATCAAATCAAATCCCCGCAAACCAACACTTGAGATTGCGGTTCACTGGTTTTAGAATTTAAATTTTAGTTCATAACTCCAGATTCAATCTAAGCAGTCATAGAATGACATCAGTCGTCAGAAGGTAAGTATATCTCATGCCTCAGTGTTAAATGATAAAACATTTTACTCATGAAAAAAACTTGACATATAAATTTTATGAATGGGTACTTGTGATTAATTGGAATAATACTGTGGTGTCCACGACCTTCCTTCAGTTGGTTCGCCTATTAGAACAAAAGTGTACCTAGGTGATGTGACATTTAGCTCAGTGACTATATGACGTGCAACCTTCACCTAAGTATCACATCAACATGACTCAGGTTGTGATAGCTAAACTGACCGAAATCTTGCAACTTAATTCACACATATAATTAAGTTGTACATATGTACAGCTCGATGGCAATATAAATAATACCTTAGTAGTAAGGAATCCGACTTAGGTATTGTTAAGAAAACACAGTAAGTTGCAGATACTCCGATTAGTAGCATGTAACACTCTTATTGTAACGACCTATCTACTAATCCATTCCTATAACAGCAAAATATTGCTCATCAGGTGGATCCACACAAAAAACTTGAAGGATCTGGACTTCGCCGATGACATATTTATGTCCAATTTCCCACAAAATGGAAGATATGCAAGTGAAAAGAAACAAGTTGGCCATAGAAGAAGCATCCAGAGAAGATAGGACTTTCTTCAGGTGGACATAGAGAAAACAGAGGTGATGAAGATTCATTTCCAACAGCAACAGCAACTGCAAGAACAACAGACACAGTTAGTCAGCATAAATGGGGGAAATCTGAAAGAAGCTACCTCCTGCACCCACCTTACTACCTCGCCGGAAAGCATCGTTTCAACCACAGGCGTACAGAACTGACGAGGATTACAAACCAAGGATCGGGAAAACAAGACAAGCTTTCACTACTCTCAAGTCTGTGTGGATGTCAACAGCACTGCTCAGCATGAATAGTAAGATCCGGATTTTCAACTCCAATGTGAAGTCAGTGCTACTCACTGTACGGATCAGAGACTTAGCGAGTCATGAAGAGCACTTCAAACAAACTACAGACCTTCATCAGCAGCTGTCTTCGTTCAATACTGCGCTCAAGATCAGATGGCCGGCCAGAAAAGATTGGCAATAGTGAGGGATCTCTGGCAATGAGCGAACCAACCTAACAGGAACCGATTGTGTCGCAACAAATATGCAGGAAGAAATGGAGGTGGATTGGTCATACGATGAGAAAACAAACCATCAAGTGAGTGACATCACTCGGGGTGCAGGCCATCACTCGAGTGGGAGGCGAACGGGAAGCGATGAGTTGGTCGTCACTGCGAGGTTGGGGTGACATGGAGGAGGAGTTGCTGTGAAGAGGAGATGGAGCCAGGTGAAAACGTTGGCAGAGAAGCGAACGAGGTGTAGATGTGTGGCTGAATCCCTGTGTTCCTCTAGGAACTAAAGAAGACAATAATAATAAATAATAGGTATATAAGAGTACTGTCCAACTACTCATTTCAGGCAATCAGTAGTATACACCAATGTCATGCAATTAGACCTGGTTTCTTGATTGCTATTTTAATGATATTATGCTCCTCACACATTATGATTTGAATATTTTTTTTGGTTTCTAAAGGCGAGGGATTTGAATTCTTACCTCGATCCATGTACTTTTCAGATTGTGAATTTTATTCAAGATAAACTGGAATCAAAATCAGAGACTGGATGGCCAGAATTAGAGTGCTGAAGCCAATGCGTCATATTTTTATCTATGTTCTCATGTGAACTATTGACCTTAGTGTATTCCATCTAGTCTATGTTGATGAGTTTTGCATCTTGACTAGTATGAATGCAACTCCACTGAGCGATTCAAGTCTACTAATCTCAGTAACTAGAATGGTAGTCTGTGAAAATGCCTTTGACAGTGTTGACCGTGAAGTAACTTGGAAAATACTTGAACCCTAAAGAGTGCAGTGCTGCAAATCTTTATCAGCTTCATTCAACATCTTTGTGTGACAACACTGCATGTCAAGTGATCCACAATAGAAAACTCACTGAAGCCTTTGAAGTAAACACAGGAGTAAAACAAGTCTGCCTAGTAACAACAATGATATTCCTAATTGCAGTTGATTGGATTATGAGGAAGAATGTGCATGGGAGCTAGGAGACAGTAGTATGTTGGATCAATAAAGAAGACTCTAGAAGATCTGGATTTCGCTGACTGTGTTTGCCTGTGATACAAACTTAGAAACTTACAAGCAAAAACCAACGACTTTCTAACTTCCTTTATATAATTCCGTCACTATTTTTCATCGCTCGATTTGATTGGTAGTAGTATTTTCCATATTTTTGGTGTGAGTGATGAGTCATTCTTATTGCATGTCTTGGGTGTAGACTCAATGAACACGGATTCAGTAATCAGCCTCTCTGTCCACCTACCTAGATTACTTCTGAGAATTTTAACCCTATCCCACCCTATTGTGTGGTTGTGTGTTAATGTATGCATCGCAACTGCTGAGCTTTTTTCTAAATTACTTATCTTCTCTGGGTCAACCATTCTTACCTTAGCTAAATTCTTATGTTCCGACAATCTGACTATGCCCAATCTACTAGTTTGACCTATGTAGTTGACTTAACTCACAGTTATTGCAGGGTATTTTGTAAATTATATTATTTTGTCTAATTGGGTCGACAGGGTCCTTTAACCTACAAAGCTTGTCTCTGAGTTAGTTTGTAGGTTTAAATGGTGCTTTATTCAGAATCCTAGTTAGGGGGGTCTCAGATGTCCCCTCCTTATATGGTATAACAGTGGATGACTTATATTCTCTCTTATTTATGTTATCATTACTAGTTTCACAATTATTTTTATTTTGCTTTTTACCTTTTCTGATCTTCCTAATGAATTTTATAGGATAGTTATTCAACACCAACCAGCCATTCTTCTCTCTGTTTTATTTCATCATTTAGGTCATTTCTTGTACTATTCAGTGCTACTGCTCGGTTTGTTAAACACTTAACTAAGCCTGCCTTCACAGAAAACGGATGAGATGAATTAAAGTTTAAATATCTATTAACAGAATGCGTTGGTATTTTATAAACGCTAGTGTGCAGTTTACCTTCTTCTATTCGTTTTATTTTATAGTCTAACATCATGGCCAATTCTCCTTATTCATTTTCCGATTCAAATGTGAATTTTATTCCCTTTACTAGTGAGTTTATGTGCGTCAAGAAGCTAGAGATATGTTCTGTTTTTAACACTGTGAAAGTGTCATCCACATATCTCCACCATATTATCTTTGGAGTAGGATTACATGTATTAAGAGAAATATTTTTCCAGCTATCCTTAAAGATGTCTGCTATGATAGGGAATATTGCTGACCCATCCCATTGCTACACCTTCTGTTTGTCTTTATATTTTGCCTTGGAATTTAAAGATAGTAGATGTGAAGCACAACTGAATTCCTAAAATAATTTCATCAATGGGTAGTTTCGTCCTATAAGTGAGTTCAGGGTCTGCAGTTAATCCTTTTTTAACTTCTTCTAAGGCCATATTGATTGGTATGTTAGTATAAAGACTAGTTATATCAAAACTAACCATTGTTTCATCATCCTCTAGTTGAATGTCACTTAGTTTATTTTTCATCTCAAATGAATTAGCTAGTCTAGAGATTGAGCGATTTCTAA